ATAAAACACTAGTAAAGCCATAAAAGTAAAAATTATCCAAATTAATTGTACAAAAAATGTTACAAAATGCTAATATGAGATTTTAACAAATAAATTACAACTAGCTTTTTCCCGCGATTTTGTTCGCGTACACCTCGAATTGTCCGTGCATTCCTGGCATTGCCCGTGCGACGGAGAGTAGAATGCTCTGGGCGGTGTTCTAGGTCATATTAAAGCGGGAATGATTTCGCAATAATATTTTTATATTTGTAGGTTAGGTTGCAGTCCCGTCCCGTCCCGTCCCGTCCCGTCCCGTCCCGTCCCGTCCCGTCCCGTCCCGTCCCGTCCCGTCCCGTCCCGTCCTGTCCTGTCCCGACCCGTCCCGTCCCGTCCTGTCCCGTCCCGTCCCGTCCCGTCCCGTCCCATCCCGTCCGTCCCGTGTCGTCCCGTTTTGTTTCGTCTTTTAGGGACGCGATAAAAATGAGCAAAGTAAGATAGGTCCTCGTAATTTTTCCACTGCGGTTACCAGTAATTTTTCCACTGCGAAGACTGCTTTATATCCTGCATTTACTAATTATTATTACCCTTTAATTAATTATATTAAAGACGCGATAAAAATGAGCAAAGTAAGATAGGTCCTCGTAATTTTCCCACTGAGGTTACCAGTAATTTTTCCACTGCGAAGACTGCTTTATATCCTGCATTTACTAATTATTATTACCCTTTAATTAATTATATTAAAGACGCGATAAAAATGAGCAAAGTAAGATAGGTCCTCGTAATTTTCCCACTGCGGTTACCAGTAATTTTTCCACTGCGAAGACTGCTTTATATCCTGCATTTACTAATTATTATTACCCTTTAATTAATTATATTAAAGGGTAATAATAATTAGTAATATATTGCATTGTCCTGCATTTACTAATTATTAATAATTACTAATTTAGGTTTGCATAGCTAGAATTTGTCCTCCCATGTGGTGTTTTTCTTGCATTAGTTGTATATTGGCAGTTATGAATCGCATCCCTTAATTGTGTCCAGCCTTGTTCAGCTTCCAATATTGAGATTGAAGTTATCGGTTGAAGTGATTCTTTGACGGCTTCCCGGAGGGCGTCGGCGGTATTGTTGTTCTCTAGACCCCGTACGTTCAATCTGGTCATGTTGTTTTGCTTTTTACAGTGTGGATGTTTGGGTTTTAACTAGATTTTCATTTTTGAAATTAAAAGTTGGTGGTAAGTGCCGCATTCGGCATCTATTCTGGCTTTTGTTAGTCTAACATCTTTTAGATGCGTTAATTAATGAATGGGTTATTTAGATATAGTGTAATTTTTCAGAAAAAGTGTAAATTTTCAGAAAAAGTGTAAATTTTGAGAAAAAGTGAAATTTTTCAAAAAAAGTATAAACTTTCAAGAAAAGTGTAATTTTTCATAAAAAGTTGCAATTTTGCAAAAAAAAATGTAAATTTACAGAAAAAGTGTAAATTTTGAGAAAAAGTGAAATTTTTCAAAAAAAGTATAAATTTTCAAGGAAAGTGTAATTTTTCATAAAAAGTTGCAATTTTTCAGAAAAAAATGTAAATTTACAGAAAAAGTGTAAATTTTGAGAAATAGTGTAGTTTTTTAGAAAAAGTGAAATTTTTTAAAAAAGTGTAAACTTTCAGGAAATGTGTAATTTTTCATAAAAAGTGCAATTTTTTAGAAAAAATGTAAATTTTACAAAAAAAGTAACGATTTTGCCATTGCAGGGACCTATCGTTTTTCCCACTGAAAGAGGCAAAAAAACATAATAACGTAAAAAAGTAACAAAAACGATAAGTTAGAACATTGGGCTATTGGAAAAGTAAGTAGGTAAATTGATAGCAAATGGAGTAAATGTAATTTCTTTCTTTGACTTTTCTGTAAATATTCATATCTTTTTCTGAAAACGTAACTTTTTATGAAAAATTAATTTTTTTTTTTTTTTTTTCTAGTTATCTTTTTGAAAAATTTCACTTTTCCTAAAAATTTAAACGCATTTTAATTTTTAAAATAACATTTTTTTTCGAAAAATTGCAACTCTTTTACAGCACCATAACTTTCTTGAAAATTACACTTCTTTGAAAAATTTCAATTTTTCAAAAATTAAGACTCTTTCTGTAATTTGCATTTTTCTGAAAAATCATAGAACCTATGAAAATTACACTCTTCTTGATAATTCTGCCTTTTTGAAAAAATTTACTTTTTCTTTCGTACCCTACACTTTTCTGTAATTTATATTTTTTTCAAAAAAAAAAAAAAAAAAAAAAAAACATTTTCTGAAAATTTACACTTTTTTGAAAATTTCACTTTTTCTAAAATTTACAACTTTTCTAAAATTTAACATTTTTCTTGGAAGCAACTGCAAAATTTCATTAAAATTACAATTCTCTTTGAAAACAAATTATACTTTTTTAAAAATCTTTCTGTAATTACATTTTTCCTGAACAATTGCAACCTTTATCATCTAGAGTGCCTGGGTAGTACCCATTTTATATTAAATTTATTTGAACAATTGCTAGCTTTAAACGGCAACAACTTGATTAATTTAAATGGAACACCCTGTATATTTTACGTGAATCAGATGCACAATTTAATTGTATTATATAACATTTTACCTATATCTCCAAATTCTCATAGAAAATGCATTTTCTTATAATATTGACATTTTAGACTGTATCGATGCTAAAAACGATAATATTGCTAGCCCATTTGTTTACAAAGATATAACTATTTAAATATTTGCAAAAGAGTGTACCATTAATTAAATATACCACCATTATTTCCGCCCAAATATTAATTAATCACATTTAATTGTGTTAGTTAATAAATTATTATAAATAAATGTAGATTTGAATCAGAAATCAATATATTAATAAGTTATGAATATGAACGTCTCTGTTATATAAATAAGCATTTATCAAAAAATGACATAAAATTTAGAAGGTGTTACTTTTACCACGTTGTCTAATACACATACAAAATTCAGTTTTTTTTAGTAGTGGAGCAATTATTAATCAACGCAAATAGTCAATTAATGTATGTAGTTCGAATACTGAGATCATATTAATTAGTCCTCTTTTACATCTACTTAACTAGAGTTTGATATTTTTATTTATTTGGGACACTGTACTTGTTGCAAATAATTATAAATAGTCCTACAACAAATCCAAAACTTACAATTTGTAAAAATCTAATCGTTTGGCTACAGTACATTACTCCGTGTCTAATGAGGTGAATAACCGTGAATTAATTAAACCAACATTTATATTAAGAACGAACAATACATTTTATAGAATTAATCTGAAATACTAAAATACCAAATAAATCTATTATATTTAGTATTGTAGAAAATGCTGATGTTCATACAACCATCTGTTCTACACTGTTCCAACGCACTATGATTCTCTGAAATCTACAATCCAAAATTCGATATTTTTCATTGGACTTAGATTGGATGTAGGACGTAGATTATAATATGTTTTCAAAAAGTACTGATAGAAGTATTTAAGTATATATAAAAATATCCTTGGTGTAGCATATAAAATATCAGTATTCTGTACAGATCAGTATCAGTAGATAGATCAGAAAAATATCAGTAGAATGTTGATTTTTTTGTACAAAATTTCAACATTAAATATAATATTAATTAAAGAAGATATTTTATTTCATAATATGTCTTTGTCTTCCACTTTCAAATAAAAAAATGTATTCCTCATATGGTCTTATATTAGAATTTATATATGGCATACTGCAATTAATTATGTGTAATTTTCATTAGTACAGTCTGACATTCTTCTAGCTCTTCTAGCATATACATACATAAAGAAGAAATACATATTTTGTAACCCTTTTAATTTTCAATTTTTTTAAGACTTTAAAGAATATATTTTATTTTACTATAATTAGGTATGCACCTAATAAACACGACCTTAAAAACCTAAACAAGGAAACCTTAGAAAGAATGTTCTTTGTAATTTTTAAGGTGTCCGATCGATTTTAAGGGTAATCCAATTGGAAATTGAAAGAAAGTGCGGTAAATCTGATCATAAAAACTAAATAATTTTGTGAAACAGTTTAATCGCATAATACCCCAGACACCATAAAAACTCAAACATGCCAAATCCGGATGTATAGAAATAGAAACCCCAATTCATTCACATCTAATAATATTTTTTTTTCAAGGATGGACACAGGATAAAAAATTTTCAATGTATTGAAAAGTTTTCTTTGGAAGGAGTTTCGGATGCGGCCACGTTGTTTCGCCGTGCTGAATGTTTGTGTGTTTCCACGTGGACCCAACGTGCATTAAGCATATGGCACGTGAAGCTTTTTCCCTGATGTCATGGTTTTTTCATATGAAAAAAGGCGGATATTCAATTTTTTACTGTTTTTTTACTGCAACATTTGTATTTCAAATGTTTGTTTTATTTCCTTCTACCATTTATTTATTATATGTTTATTTAAAATTATCATTTTATTGTAACATATTTGAAAATATTATTTTTTTATCTCTGAATAAATAATTTAATTCTTATATTAGTCTTTTATTTGGTAATTATAATATATATTATAAAAATATTTAAATTCAAATAAAGGCGCGCTTTTTGAATCGCTCAGCGCCGATCGCAGCGCCAGCTCTCTCCAGATTCAACGGGTCCATCATTGGATTTTTATCTGTGATTTTTATATATAGTTATTAGAGAACCAGTTATACACATTGACTTGGGCATCTCGTAGTTATCTCTGATTTAAGTTCCTTGTTTTTTTATGTTGTTGTCTTTGTCATGTCTTTGTCTAATCATTAACCATAGATTCGTAATTTTTTTAGGACACTGCCCAAATGACTTTTATCAACTTTTATCTACCGGCCGAATAGTCCTGGACCTAGAGCTGTGGCCGCAAACTCAGACTCCATACCAGCTGATACCAGACTACTACCAAAGAGAAAATAAAGTCTCTCTTACGTATCTCTATCCTTTTCCTACGTGCTTTGTGTACATCTTTTTTTGCAGTCAAACACACACGAAGAGAGGTAATGTTCGATCAGATGATTGATCACGTGACTGGCAAGAATCATTTTAAAAGAATTCATGCCCTTCAAATGACATTTTGAACGTGTCATTGGTTGTAGCAGCACTGAGGTGTTTGATATTTTTGGAGGTAAGGTAGTTTAGTTTTTACCTGTAAGTTTTTTTTTCTTATTTTAATTTGCATAGTATAGTTTTATCTGATTTAGTATTTTACCAAATATTTAATTAAATTAGGCAACTTTATATTTTAAATTGACTGCTATTTTTAGCTTATAATTTTAACTCCATTTTTGTGGTTTTACACATTTATAATCTTATTAACATCTAATAAACATTATCAAATATGAGAAGTGCCCACCTTGAGATATTATTGAAGGGTAAATTCTTTTTTCCTAATTTTTTTCTTATTATTATGCAATATTGAAATATAGAGTAGTGCCGGTATTTGACCTCTTTGACCTTCAGAGTTTGATCAGAAAAGATTATGAGGAAAATAAAATATATTTATTCGTTTTTCCCCTATTTTTAGTTTATTTTACTTAATGTTAAGTTACTTAAGTATTTGTAATTTGTAATAAATCAGATGGTTTGTCGCAGCGTGCTGATTTTACATTTAAATGTTTTGTTGAATAAAAATGTACCTATTGTTAAAAATCAATCAAAATTAATTATTTTACATTTAAAGTCTGTTTTCTAGCTATCCTTTCATCAGTTAGGTATTAAGTTTGTCTTTTAGTTTCAATTGTAGCGTTAAATGAGTAATTACACTAATTAACAAGATGATGAAAATATATAAATTTTTTTTTGTACCTACCTAGGTATTTCAATTTTTTTTATTTTTTTTTGTTCAATAACAGCATTGCATTGTTTTACAGAAATTACCGAAACATTATGTCTAAAATTGGAATTAATGGATTTGGCCGTATTGGTCGTTTGGTACTAAGAGCTGCATTGGATAAGGGTGCTCAAGTAGTAGCCATCAATGACCCCTTCATTAGCGTAGATTACATGGTGTACTTGTTCAAATTCGACTCTACCCATGGCCGCTTTAAGGGTACAGTTGGTGTTGAAGGAGGAAATTTGGTTGTAAATGGACAAGCCATTCAAGTATTCCAAGAAAGAGACCCCAAGGTAATTATCAATTATATGTTTATTAAGGGTTTTCTAGTAAAGATATCTACTCTAACAATTCTAAGCAAAATATATAAGCTGTGATAAAAAAATAGCTTAAAAGTAATGAATAACATATACCTATGGAGTAGTTCACGGCCATGAATTGTTAAATGTTTTGTTAAATGCATGGCTAAAAGAAAATAACTATCTATTAAGTTAGACGTTAAAAAAGTTGGATTTTTCTATTGACTATTGACTAGTATAACTCTGAGTGTAAAATTATTTTGTCTACATTATTTATTCCAGGTTATTTTATCAAACATGGTTTTTGTGGTCTATTTCTTTGTTATTTTATGTCTTTTCTTTCTCTTTTAGTCTATCCCATGGGGTAAAGCCGGTGCCCAATATGTTGTTGAATCCACTGGCGTTTTTACTACCATTGAAAAAGCCTCAGCTCACTTGGAGGGCGGTGCCAAGAAAGTCATCATTTCAGCTCCATCAGCCGACGCCCCAATGTATGTAGTTGGTGTCAATCTGGATAAATACAACCCGGCCGATAAGGTTAATATTTCCTTTCGTCATCATAATATCCCCAGTATTATTTTATTAATAAAATGTTAACAGTTTGTTTCTACTTTGTAGGTTATCTCTAATGCTTCCTGCACAACAAACTGTCTGGCTCCCTTGGCCAAGGTCGTTCACGACAACTTTGAAATTGTTGAGGGTTTGATGACCACTGTGCACGCAACCACTGCCACCCAAAAGACTGTCGATGGACCCTCCGGAAAATTGTGGAGAGATGGTTAGTAAAATCTAATTCAATTTGACATTCTTATTAATTTTATTTAAATTAAAACGACTTGTGACTTGTGACACAATAATATGGGGTGTGATTATGTTTTCAGGTCGCGGTGCCCAGCAAAATATCATTCCCGCCGCGACAGGTGCGGCCAAGGCTGTCGGCAAAGTTATCCCATCGTTGAATGGAAAGCTGACTGGAATGGCCTTCAGAGTGCCCGTTGCCAACGTTTCCGTTGTTGATCTGACCGTCAGGTTAGGCAAAGGGGCCAGCATGGATGAAATCAAGGCCAAGGTAAACTATTATTCAATATATTAATTTCTAAAACATAGACTAAGGGCTCTAACTCACTGACGACCAGGTCGCAACGACCTGGCCGCCGGCTGGCCGGATGTATAGCGTTTATAGCTGCGGCCAGATGAACGACCAGTTTCAACAGAGTTGTCAGATCTAACGATTTTTTACGTTTTACCGATTAGAAAATATTGTTTCAGAAAGAGTTAAGTTTCAGAAATGTTAAAATATCCGAGTTAACTAAAAAGCGAAGTTGCTATTCATGAGCTTTTTAAATGTTCTAATATTAAATAATGCATTTAAAATATTCTTGGATTTTTCGTTAATAAATACTGGTGTCGTAAATGAAGTAAAATCCCAACCCCGACTACACGACAACGTCGTTATTTCCATGTTTTTCAAATCCGCGATGCCTGCTACTCCATCAGTCGTTTCATAACAGAATATTCTACATCCTACGTCTATGTAATTTAATATGTGTAGAGTGAGACATGTTACTCGTGAGATTTTCAGCATTATATCAATAAAGGACAAAAACAGTATTGTTCCTAAAGGTGCGTCCAGACTTGAGCATTTTAACCCTGAACGAACGGTGCGCGCACGAACAAGCAGAACAAATAGGCCGAACATAAAGCATTGTGTACGCGCGAATGGCAAAAAGGGAGATATTCTGTTTCTTTTTTCTACCCATATGGACTTCTACTGATGGCTCTTATCGACTTTAGAAGTAAACCTATTAGGGCCATCGTAAAAAAAGGTCGTCAGACACTGACTCTAGGTATAAGCAGGTAGAAAGTTTAGCTTCCAGTTATTTCAATGTTTACAATATAAATTCCCATTTTTTATTGTTACTGAGAATCTACAACAGTAAATATTTATATTTTTATGAATGTTTAAGTTACTTTTACTCATTTTTTTTTTAAAAAATGTACCTAGTAGAAATATAGTCTAATGGAACCTGTTTGAAAAACGTTAAATTAAATATAATATTTAAAATACAGTTATCCTCCTTGTACATGACTACAAGACAACTAAAAAAAATGATTTAATAGAAAAAAAAACAAGTGGTTGTAGAACTCGAAACTCGAAGGTATAATAACAGGTATCATACCAACCATAAATAGAGTATGTCATATAAAAATGTTTTGAATTTTTACTAGAATCGACCCTTGATAAAAAAAAGTGACTAGATTTAAGTTTCCCTTTGATCCAGTCTGTAGACTATTTCTTTAGATTTTCTGCACGTGTGCAAAAACTACACTAAAACACTATATCTTATAGAAAATAAAATATTGTGCGTTGAATTTGAGGGAATTCATCTGAAAAATTATTAATTTGGAAGAAAACCGGCAACAAGCGGCAGAAAATTATAATATTTTAGTGCAGTCTACTGGTCGCAATGACCAACTGACGGCCAGGACCTTAGTGTGCGCGGAATCATTTGATTTAATGGTTTTAGAGGTTTTTCCTAATATTGGTTAATCCCATTTATAATTTTCTTTTTGGAGGACTTTTAATAAGATTTTTCTTGTATGTGATATGATATGTTGAATAACGTGCACCTTAATTTGTTGCTTACAGATCAAGGCGGCTGCCGATGGCGAACTGAAGGGCATCCTGGGCTACACCGAGGAGCAGGTGGTGTCCTCCGACTTCATCGGCGACACCCACAGCAGCATTTTCGACGCCTCCGCCGGCATCTCCCTCAACAATAACTTCGTCAAGCTGATTTCCTGGTACGACAACGAGTACGGCTACTCCAACCGCGTCGTCGACCTCATCAAGTTCATCCAGACCAAGGATGCCTAAGTATTAGTACTCTCTAGGTTAAGCAGATCAGATGGAACGTTCTTTGTTTTCTCTCATAGCTCTTGACACGTTAATAGTCACATTCGTATTTATATAACCGTATATTGTCGCTTAGAAAAAGTTGTGTTAGGATTTATATAAGCCGGTTGCAAGGTGGAGAAACCAAAAAAAAAAGAATTTGACAAATTCAGTCTAATTATAGTGTTTAGTGTTAATATATTAATGTCATGTATAAGTGTAAAGTGCTGTTTGTTTATATATCAATCCTGTGCTGATTTTTGTTTATTAAATTATGATTAAAGTGTATTTGAATAATAAATCTTAACAAGCACTCTAGGAAAGTGTTTTATTTTGACTCCTAACTATGTAAATTTTTGCTTAACGTGATCAATGAATTCTGATATAAGTATACAGAGTCGTCCGAATTGTTTTCGGGAAACTTCAGCAACGTATTTTGCAGATAAAAATAAGTAAAAAAGTTTGTATAAATGTATCTTCTAAAAGGCTGTGCTTCAATACAGAGAATAGAAACTTTGTTGCCGTTATATTGACATCAAAATCAGATTTCCCACGTCAAAAGACTCCCAGACCTCAATTTTGATCCAAATATCGACGTTGGTTATTGGGAAAAAATCGAAATAAAAATGAAACTCCTACATCCTGTATCTCAGATCTGCAGAATATCGTGCCAACTTTTCCGAATATAATTCGGTCCACCCTGTATATTGATCTGTTATTGCTTATTCATGTTATTCATTTAATTCTGATTGATTGATATGGAGATATCTGAAATGTTTGATAAATTTATTAAATTATAAGAACGAATTGAATAATACTATCAATACGCTTGAAAGTCATAAAGAACGACCTTTATGAGCGTGTTCGAATAAACGTAAATTTGCAATGAAGTGACCAAAAGTTGATATCAAGAAACAACAAAATTTGCATTAATTTTCACGGCAGTTTTTAGATTGACGTAATAGACCCACGTAAAACAGGCTTTTCGCAATTTTTGAAAATTCAATTGGAAAATTTGATAACTTATTAAATATTTTTACATACCTAGTTCACTTGTACAGGGTGGGTCAAATTCGACGCTTTTAAATGGAAACACCCTTTTCTATAGGAGATAGACAAAAACTAATATCAGTGTATGGAGCTCAATTTTTTGCCAAAAACATGATTTTTGGCAAAAAGGATTAGATCCATGGGCACTAAGTCAGGCGGCCTCGACGGCCAACGGCTGGGATCTTGGTTAGTTATTCTATTATTCTTGAAATTGGCTTCAAAAAAACGCTGATAACTTCAGCGTTCTGAGGCGGTGCGTCGTCTTGTGGAAAAATATGTTTTCGAGTTCCATTAAGGGCATATCATCAATAAGGGGCCTAAAGCCTACTAGTTAAAAGTGGCGAACTTTTCAAAATTCTGTATTTCGAAGGGGATTATAACAAAATATTAAGTGTGCTATATTTTTGGAAAGGTAATTTTAAATTCTTTTCAGTTAATTAAAAATATAGAGGGTGTCCCAAATAAAAAATCATTTTTTCTGTTGATAACTCTTAAATTATTAATTTTAAAATAATTATACTTAAACCATTAAATTCTACGTAAAAAGGTGCTTTGAAAATATTTTCATAGAAATACAAAATTTTCCATAGCAAAAAAGTTACAGCGATTTGTTAAAAATGCACGTTTTTGAAAAACACCCCGTAACTCCGAAACAGTAACAGATATTGATGTGCGGTTTTCAGCATTATGTTTTTGATGAAAATTGAGCTCCAGACACCGATATTAGTTTTTGTCTATCTCCTATAGAAAAGGGTGTTTCCATTTAAAAGCGTCGAATTTGACCCACCCTGTACTTTTCAGAACTCAATACAAATAAAGTATTTTTATTAAGTTCAAATATGATTTTTAAATCGGATATAAAATTATCTGAATTATGTTTATTGTTAATTAAAACCAATGCCGGGTTCCAATAAAACAGTTACCTATAGAAAATATATATATTCATTAAAAAGCTCTTACAAAATATATACCTAAGCAATACCAAAAAACAGCAGCAGGCACTTGTTGACTTATTATTTATTCTTGGAATCATTTTGTTTTTTCTTAAGCTCCACTATTTTTCCTAACAAAATTCTTCCAACGTCATAATATTGATTGTTATCATCTTTATCTAGAGAAAGACACAGTGTTAATTTTGATGGGTATATTTTTATTAACATAAAACCTACCGTCATAATAAACTAATTCACACTTTTTGTCCATCTCTGTAAATTCCAATATTTTACTCAAAGTTAAATAAAACTGTAGAAGAATATCGTTTTTGTGACGAGTATAATAATCTAAAAACAATTTAGTTTATTTATGGTATTACAACCGATGCAATTTTAAACTTCTTTAATACAACTACCATATGATTGCAAAAAAAAGGGTGTCCATTTGGTTTAGAAATGAGGATCAATGACCCCATATAATTTTAGATATGAAGTGACATCTATCTTAATTTCACATCTATCGCTGACGCCGTTTTTTTTTTCGATCATATTGTATAAGTAGCATAATAAATTTCGAATATTATATTGGATAGAGCATTCTTTTACTTGTGTGTGGAGTTGACTTTTCGCAAACTTCTTTAAAAGTCTTCAATGGTGTAGCATACTCAGCACACACGTATATCAATTTTCCTGTTCTTTCATGCTGGATAGTGTATACAGAGTTTCTGTAAACCCTGTCTCGAACGCCCGCTACTGTTTTTACTTTGTCTTCTAATGACTGGAATTAAAAACATATAGTGGAATTAATAAATAGATTATTTCACTTACACTTCGAAGTTCCATTAAGCTTGAAACTGCATTAATTTCAACGTGGCACGTTAAAGATTTAGGAATTAAAATAAAGATTTTATGACATTCAAATTGAACATTATTTAAACTTTCATAATCCTTCATCATTTCCTCTAAATTTTTCATCTTGTCTCCTGTTTTTGGTAAAATATAATTTAAATATCCAAAGAAAAAGGAATAAGCCATCCCTGATCCATAATCCAAACCATTCTCTTTAGCTATGCATAGAGAATCATTGATTGAATTCGAATCCTTAAAAAAGTTGAGGGTTTAGGAGCATCGAATAAACTATATTGGAGAGAATATACTAACCAAATCTAGTAATTTGTGTAAGAAAAATAAAACACAGGGTATAAGATACTTGTCATCTAAGACTGGTAATCCTTGAGAAGTAACATAATAAACGATGATTAAAACACATGCTCCGAAACACACCATTGAATTAATATTGCAACTAAAAGATGCTACAATTAAATCTTTATAACTGTCATATCGTGAATGGAGGTGCTTCAATTCATGGAGGAAAAGTATAATTCTATAAATTATATTCAAGATAAGGTAGAAAAATATTGAAAATAAATAGGTACCTAAAATTAATATAAATTTAATTAAAAATATACAGAAAAAATATTTAGAAATAAAACTTACATAAAAGTGATGTTTTGTTGTTAGATAAAACAAAGTGAACTGCAAAGAAAATAAAGTGTTTTACTATGTTAAATTATCACTTCAAATTGTAAACTTACTAAAGGTTACTGAAATAATACAAATAATATAGGTATTGGTCATGGAATCTCTAGCTCGAGGAATATTACTTGGGTAATAGTCTCTTGAGCCTTTTTTAATCACACATAGCTAGATATAAAAAAAATATTTTTTAGGTGACTGGATATATTAGTAACAAGAATATTATATCTTACAGGCTTAACATATGTTCTTTCAGATATATTGTTTAGTTTATTTACGCTTTGGCCTAATATCTTCGTTGTAAAATGGACCTAGATGAATTGAAAATTATTAATATAAATATACAGTATTTAATATATGGTGAAAATTCGCACATTCTCATATTCAGTTTTTTTGTCACCCATATTTTTTTAAATGTTATATTAGTTATAAATTTTGTTGTTATATTTTCAGTTTAAAGGATAATTAAGACACGTTTTTGAGTTTTTGTTTTTGTCATTTGTCAAGTTTTTGTACTATGGATTATCCAAATAGCTATGGAGTATGGAGTGTAGTACCCATAGATCAAAAGGGTCATACATCCAACTACTAACCACCATACCACCATAGACTAATGACGTACATTAATCATAATAATCATAATAGCATCTATATCTATGGTATACATTCACTACAAATACGTTCAAATAAAAACTCTTTGGGGAAACAAAACTAAATTTAAACGTATTTGATTCACTATTGCCATAGAGTGTGTTATCAGCGTTTTGTTTCCCCAAAAGAAGCCCAAAAGGGAAAAAGGCTAGAAGCACAGAATATCTAGCTACGCAACAGAAGCCTCGTTACACGTATAAAATCGTAGGTATCAAAAGGAGACAGGTTTTAAAATGGTTTTAAAAGCCTGTCTCCAAATCAGATATTTTGATGCGGTAGTTTCGCTACTACATAATAGATGGCGATAAATTTAAAGGAAAACAGTTTTCTACAAACGAAATTTAAACGAATTTTATGCAGTGTTGCCATTGTGCAATTCATATTGTAATACTTCCTTATAAAGCCTACCTTCAAATTTGCTACACCATTTAAACCATAGACAAACTAACAAAAGGATTTTGTTAGTTTGTCTATGATTTAAACATATTAAAATAGATCAGAGCTCTTTTTTCAAACGTTTAGGTATTTAAATTGCCATGTTAGTAGGAGTTAAATCTTAGAGCTGAATTATAATCACTTTGTGACGTTTGATTGTAATTAAATTTCCTCGATTGGACTTATACTTGGTATAATAAGTATCTTCGGTGACATTGTAATATGATGGTACTATGATGCATACAAAGTGGTACGTTCTATAGTACCATATTATGATACCACTTCCTGACGTTCGATTGGGCTCATATTTGATTATACCTGCGTATTTTTTATGACATTGCAATATTATGGTACCATGAAGCATATCAAGGGGTACCATAATGTAGTTCCATATTACGATACCATTTCCTGGCGTTCGATTGGACTTAAACTTTGTATGATACGTATGTTCGGTGACACTCTAATATGATGGTACTTTGATGCATATAAAGTGGTACCTTCTATAGTACCATATTATGATTGATTATACTTGCGTATTTTTGATGACATTGCAATATTATGGTACCATGAAGCATATCAAGAGGTACCATAATGTAGTACCATATTACGATACCATTTCCTGGGGTTCGATTGGGTTTAAACTTGGTATACTACGTATCTTCGATGACATTGTAATATGATGGTACTATGATGCATATAAAGTGGTACCTACCTATAGTATCATATGACGATACAATTTCCTGGCGTTCGATTTTGCTTAAATTTGGTATACTATGGATCTTCGGTGACATTGCAATATTATGAAGCATATCGAGTGGTACCATAATATAGTACAATATTATGATATCATTCCCTGGAGTTCGATTGGGCCAAAATTTGGTATACTTGCGTTTCGTTTTAAAGATTTGTTTAATTAATAATTTTAATTTATTTTACGAATTTTAATTTATTGTACGATGTCGTGACAGCAACTTTTATGCCGAACTAATATATTATTAATTGTACCTGTGTCACTTTTTAAAATCTACCTAGGTCTATATAAATAACGTGGCAACAGAAGACATTTGTTCTTATAGTATTTTTTTAGTCAATTAACATTTTTTATAGTGCATTTTAATAAATTATTTCCATTATTATTAAACGTATATTTCATTACTAACGTTTCAGCATTAATAAATATCACTATCAATCGCCCTGTATATTATTAATTTTAAAGGTAATTAAAGTTATTTTCTTAGTTAACATAATAAAGTAGTGTATTACATATATTAAAAATATATTTTGTGAGCATATGTTTTCTAATAATATACTTAAACTTAGAACTATTTTAAAAGCCAAACGAATAATTAATACAAGGGTATTTGACAAGAAACGAAGAATAGAAAGAAATTATTATACACCAGAAAAAGAATGGGATGCCAATTAAAGTCTTTTTGAATCTGGCAACTGTGCATCTTTAGCCGATCTTCAAGGCTGTCGACGTGCCGTCGATCTAAAACCGAAAATTGAAAATTTCCAAATATTTCCAATCATATTCTGATTATGATATTGTCGCGCCATCTAGTATTTTATTTGTGCAATTTTAGCTCTTTTTTCTGTTGCGTAGCTAGATATTCTGTGCTAGAAGCCACAATTGGTGGTGGAAGAAGAAATATTTTATTATACTAATCAATGACTAAAGAATATAAGGACATGTAACGCCCCTGTACGGGCTGTAGTAGAATTTGTGACGTTAGACGCCATTCGTTTGATGCCAAACAGTGAGTCATCATCCAGTCACCAGCGACAATTTTAGCGATTTTTAATAGTTTGTTGTGTGTAGTGAACTTTGTATAAACTTTGTTACAATGGTGAATTGTGTAGCTTTCAAGTGTAAAAGCCACAGCGACAAGAAAGAGCCAGGAGTTACGTTTCATACGTAAATAAACAGTCCACTCCAACTTTTTAGCGTTTTCTTATTGAATTCGATAATTATTCTTCAATTTCAATTAACATCTGTATGTACTTGATATGTGCTATACGTCGATACTAGTTTTGTATCTTTTGTTAACATTTTAGTACGTTTTTTTCGTAATTAGTTAGGATGATACACCATAGGCGTAGTCAAAACAATTATCAAAAAATATAAATATTGCTTCAAACAGCTAGGTTAAGGAAAATATGTGCCACGGCACTGTTTGATGCCAGCGTCACAATTTGCTGTCGGGTGTTATTTGTCCTTGGATTCTTTAGTCATTGATACTAATACTGTGACATGGTACAAAGAATACAAGGTATGATATTGCGCAGGTTGGTCGCTACGTCACAGGTGATAACAGGCGCTATTGGTCAGCACGCTCCGCGCGCCAGTTCAAATCGTCAAGATATTGTTATAAACCTGTTTTTTTTTATATACCGTCATTGAATTATCGCTAAGCAAGTTACTGTGGAGCAGTGCGTAAGGAGTCGGGCTAGGAAGAGAGACCGGAGTTCGAATCTCGGCCGGGATATAACTTTTTATTTATTTTTTTAAATACTGTTGTATTCTACATATAGTTTATTTTTATAGTATAAAAAAAAGAACTATTTATTCTGTTATTTTTTAATCTCCGGTATTAATATAAATTGATTGTTGGTACAATACCTCATTTAATATAAAATAATATTCTACTTTTTGAAATGTATCGGGCCCTAATTGTACCTAAAAGTAATATATTTTTAGTGATATACCATATTGTAAACTATTTAATATTTCAGTCACTTAAAAAGTTAATTTGCATTGAATAATTGCCTACCATTAAAGTAAATTTGAGCTATATAATCCTTGATGGGCATCTTCCTCTAAATTTTGGGTTTCGTTCAACCGATTTATTCTCAAAACCTGAAACATCTACATATAAAAAGAAGCACAGGTCACTAATTATAATAAACCTCACCCTTGGAATTACTTCCACTAATTATAATAAACTTCACCCTTGGAATTACTTCTATCACAATTACAATACATTCATCTGCATTGGCATTTTCTACTGTTCAATGGGAAACAATAAACTTTCCAACATTTTTTAAATGATGTAACAATTCCTCTTGTGGTTACTTTTCCATAGATATCCTCATCTCGTCCTCATGTGAATTCAGAGGCAATGAACATGAAAATTATTTACCATAAACATCGCAAACTAAAAACCTAATAAACAATTTTATACCGAATATAGAAATAAATTTAGTATTCTTACCTATTATCGTCCAAATCCATGTTAATAGATAATTATTATTTTTAAATGTATTTTTGGAACTGATGGTTTTAGTAATTATTAAATTAAACGAACTAAAAAGTCTTAAAAATAAACAATTCTTAACCATAACCCCAAAAAATACAGATCTCCTGTCAACTTTCTTTATTTTTTATTTATTCATTATTTTCCTAGTGACGTCACAGGTGGTATGCGCGAACAGAACGAAATTGGAGCCGCTATCGATCATACCTTGTATTCTTTGTACCATGATACTGTGACTAATACTATAACCTAAGTTATTTAGAGCGATTTCTTTATGGTTTTCTCTTTCTCACTGGGCATGGGGTTTTCTTTTAAGACATGTTAAGAACCAGATTTTAAGCAAATATTTAGTTTAAAGGCTATAATATTGTGAATAACGAAAAATAAGTTATTAAAAATTTTGATTTAATTAAGATGAGCGATGAAAGTGACTATCATTACGACGAGGAGATTGACGCTGATAATCATGAAAAGATTGTGGAAAATATCATTAGTCTTAATAAAATTAAACGTTTAAAAAAGCCAGCTCGAACACACAACTAACATCCCGTATATCTGAATTCGATTTGGTTAAATCAAGTAAATCTAGGAGATGTAGAAGTAGACAAATTAAGTAAGGCCTTAGGCAATAAAAGAAAACTTTCACAGATACGCCAGAAGTTACCCTCTACATAAACTAATAAACTACATTAACTATATGTAATGTAGTTTATGTAGTTTTTAAAAGTAGCATTTAGTTTTCCGAACCCTGGTCGCAGACCTAAAGACCGAACCTAGTGATTGTGGAATTTTGTGGAATTTGGGTATGTTCGCCGTGGAATATAATTTTGGACCATTGGCAACGCTGCGATCATACCTTGTATTCTTTGTACCATGATACTGTGACTAATACTATAACCTAAGTTATTTAGAGCGATTTCTTTATGGTTTTCTCTTTCTCACTGGGCATGGGGTTTTCTTTTAAGACATGTTAAGAACCAGATTTTAAGCAAATATTTAGTTTAAAGGCTATAATATTGTGAATAACGAAAAATAAGTTATTAAAAATTTTGATTTAATTAAGATGAGCGATGAAAGTGACTATCATTACGACGAGGAGATTGACGCTGATAATCATGAAAAGATTGTGGAAAATATCATTAGTCTTAATAAAATTAAACGTTTAAAAAAGCCAGCTCGAACAGAACCAACATCCCGTATATCTGAATTCGATTTGGTTAAATCAAGTAAATCAGGAGATGTAGAAGTAGACAAATTAAGTAAGGCCTTAGGCAATAAAAGAAAACTTTCACAGATACGCCAGAAGTTAGAATCGACAAAGAAAAAGTCTTATACTTTGCCGAAACCATTAGAAAAGCCCCAGTCCGAACGAATAAAACGTGCTGTTGCCTATGAAAGAAACAGACTACTATTAGATAGATGGGAACCATTTGTTACTTCCAACAGAGCACAAGCCCACTTAAAATTTCCTCTGGGAGAGGTAGAAACATTAAGTATGCAGGCTAAAGAAGCAGTAAAAATGACAGAGAGGTGGACAGTCAAATCAGAATTAGAAAAGGAGTTAAACACACTCGATGCAGTTGAGACAGAGGAATACATTATTGAAGATGAGAATGAGAGTGAATTTCCATTAACATTAGAAGAATTAAAGGAAAAAAGAAAAGAAGCTGCTAAACTAAGAGCTCATCAGAGCTTTAAAGAAGCTAAAGCACGCAGACAGAATAAAATTAAGAGCAAAAAGTATCATAGAATTCTAAGAAAAGAGAAAATCAAGCAAAAATTGAAAGAATTTGAAGAGCTGCAGAAAACAGACCCTGAATTGGCATTGAAAAAGTTGGAAGAAATTGAAAAGGCAAGAGCTTTGGAAAGGTTTAATTTAAGACATAAAGGTACTGGACAGTGGGCTAAAAACAAACAAGTTAGAGCCAAATATGACAAGGAGGTTAGCAAATAATGATAATAAATATATCACATCATATTATAAACAGATAATTATTTTTTTAGAGCCGACAAGTATTAGCAGAGCAACTGAAGATCAGTCGTGACTTGACACAAGAAGCCAAGAGAGTAGAACTGGATTCTGATGATGAAGTTACCGAGAGTAATACTTCTACAGCAAATTTAAATGCGGTTAATATTAATAATCCATGGCTAAGTAAGGCGCAGTCCAGTAAGGAGATGGTTGATTTTGTTAGTGGCTACAGAAAGTTTTGGATGGAAAAGAATGCAAATGATTTAGCCATATCCAGTGAAGCACAAGCTGAAGAACAAAGCCAAACTCTGATTGAACCAATAAAAGTTGATGAAAACAAGGATGTAGAATTAGAAAGAAATAATCAGGGGAAAAGGACAATAAACAAAACGAAAATTAATCCAAAAAAAGTTGTAAAAGTAAATCAATTTTCTGAAGAAAATAAATCTGTTCAAGTCGAAAAAGACACTAAGGTTACCAAAAGAAAAACAACAGGACAAGAACAACAAAAGAAAAAGTTAATGAAAAGTGTAACAAATCTGAGTAATTCTTCAGGAGAATGGAACATTGATGAATTGTTTGAAAAAGCCGAACATACAATTTTGAAGAAAATTAAATCTAAAACTGTACAAAATCCGAATAAAACAAAACAGACTAGCAAGAAGTTAGGCAATAAAAAAAGTGTAGAAGAGAAAGATACACCTAAAAAAAATGTAACTCTTGACATGCCCACTCAAAAGAAACGAATTGTTATTGATGAGGAATTACAGGAAACCTTGATTAATCAATCTGAAACAGGAACAAATTCCAATATGGAATCTCTTAAGAATATTCTTGCTAGTAAAACGACTCCACAAAAAGATCATTCGGTTAATATAGATCCCAGTAATTTTATGACAGTGAAAACACCCACCCAATTAGGATCTACAGTTCCAGATTTAGTTGAAGATGATCTTCCAGACGAGGAGAGTTACAGAAATTTGGTGATGGAAGCTTTTGAAGACGATGACGTGGTGACCGATTTTCAGAAAGAAAAACAAGAGGAAATCGACAAAGAAAAGCCCCAAGACATAGATCTAAACTTGCCTGGATGGGGCTCTTGGGCAGGCACAGGTATCGATCCGAAGAAGGCGCGAAAACGCAAACGGTTTATTGTTAAAATGCCGAAGACGTTGCCCCGAAGAGACGACAACAAGGGCTCGTTGATAATAAATGAAAAGGCCGCTTCTAAGGTGAAGCAGCACCAAGTTACCGAGCTGCCCTTTCCCTTCAAGTCGGTGAAGGATTACGAGGCGAGTATTAGGGCTCCGATAGGCAACACCTTCGTTCCACACACGGCCTTCAGGCGGTTCATACGACCCGCGGTTGAGACCAAGATGGGTACCATCATTGAACCCGTGTCCGACAGCATTTTGATGAGTAAAAAGAGGGGCTAGCTGTTATTATTTATTTGTAATTGTTATAATATACAGAATAAAATAATTTATATTAATTTTGGAGGTTTTATTTAGTTTTATATATAGTATGATCGAAAAAACGGCGTCCAGTTGGCTGGACATATTTACATATAAAATGACAGCGATCATTTCAAACCCATCGCTGACGCCGTTTTTTTTTTCGTACGGTATGGTTGATTAATGGTACGCTAATGCTGATTAATTCATATTGCTGCTATTAAATTTTAAAATATAAGAAATTATTTTTCTGATCATAAATGACTCATATTTATATTCTCCATTTTATGATATGGCTGGATTGAATTGTACTTTGAATTTCATGTTTCTTTTTCTTAAAAATAGTGAAAGCAAAGGTGAAAGTTTGGCAATTGCTAAATAAAGATATTTGAATTGGTTAAATAATAACAAAGTTTCATATCAGTAAAGTTATTCTATAACAAAAAAAGTACTCAAATGGTTTTAAATATAATATAGTCTAATACGGTTTCTATCTTCAATATCGAAAAAATAGCATTAATGGATCAAAGCACAGAATATCTAGCTACGCAAGCTATATATTCTGTGATCAAAGCCATAGACTTAAGCCGGTCCTACACGATGCTTCCAAAGGTGGACGCATCATTTGGCATAGGCTTCGATAATATTGCAATTCACAAGTGTGTCTCCTACACGATGTGGCAACTGTTCATGTGTCCCGCGTTGGAAGGTGTTTGACACAACGTGTAGGACTGGCTTCACTTTACCAAGGTACATCTAGAGTTTATATTGACAAAATGGCGAAGGTGCCGTGGTATGGAAAATGTAACAAAAAATAATGCAGATTTAAAAAAATATTAGTAAGCTTAATTCTTACATTACATTTACAACATATATTCTGTATATTTTGTGTTTTACTTGTTCTAAACAAGGCTATTATTACTTTAATTACTAGCAGTGGCGTAGCTAGCATTGAAACGGCCCTGTTATCACGAATTTCGCAGGGGGCCCCTGTGACAGAACCATGAGGGAGGGGGGATAAAATAAATAACTTACTGTCTGATCAGAATAGCTTATTATTTATTAATAACTTTTACTTACAGTAAAAAAATAAACATTCTTTCCAACAATAAACATAAATATCAAAACAAGGAACGTATGGTCTTTGGTAAAATTATACCTACAGAAATAACATAAATATTCGTTCCAACAACCAACAACAAACAAACATTAAAATAAAAACAAGAAAATATTATGAAACTAAAATCAAGAAAGGTAACAATAATTATTAGGTATATAACATTTTTATTTTTTATTTTTGGCCACCGTTTGATGTATACGGGGGCAGGCGAATGCGTGATGGCCGCGTGCTCTGGCTGTAGTTGATACAGGGTTTCATTAAAGTATGAGCAAAGTTTGCATAATTACGAAAAATTTTGATGCTAACATCACATTTTGATTTTTTTTACTGCTCGGTGGGCCCCTCAGGTTAGTGGGCCCTGTATCAATGATACAGCTGATACAGAGGTTGCTACGCCACTGATTACTAGGCCAGAAGGAAAAAAATATATTATAGATATATCTACTTTTTTAGTTTTAACTTTTAGTATTTTCTGCAGGCACATTATAAACTTGATAATTTGTCACAGAATTCGACATTGAAGATGTTGTACACGTTGTACACTAATGACAGTATCAATCATTTATTTGTCAGTTAATTTAATCAAATATTACGTATCATGAGCGAACTGGTCGCGAGATGGATCCAAGAGCGACTAGGCCTGATTATAGACATGGAGCCGGAGAGCTTCGCACTAAAAATGGCCAACGGTCGCTATTTGGCCGAAATTCTGTTCAGCTACAGCTATATAGTACCCGAACAGCTCGAACTGATTTCGAAAAACTGCAACTACATTATGGACTCGTACAAAAACTTTACATATATTGGACAGTGGCTTAAAACATTGAACATCGTGCTCGAAGACGACGACATATACGAAATTGTGCACGGATTAGGTACTACCTCATTGCACCTATTCTATCAAGTCTATTTGGAATTCCAGGACAAGAGCAAGCTGGATATTGTAATGGCAAACGAAATTCGAGCTCAGCTGAGTATAGTACACACCAGGTTCGATGTTACGAAGATGCCCGGCAAGAAACCTGATGAAGAAACTGCCGCCCTCGATACAAAGCTTATTCCTTTAGGAGACAGGCGAGCATACCGTTGGTACAAAAGTCGAATGGACAGTATACATAGCCGTTGCAAGGAAATGAGGAACGAGTACATCCACAACATGAAGAATTTTCGAAAGTCCGATGCGGTCTTCGACATAAACGGAGACATGTCCGAATTTGTAATGCCGACAAACTTAACTCCATCGCCATCCAAGCAGGGTAGTAGTGAGAAAATGGACGATGACGATTTTTCCGTCGATGAGAGGACCTACGAGGACTTGGTCAAGTCCCAAAAAGATGCCGAACAAATCATGCCAATTAAGCCTGATGTGAAAAAGGCTAAAAAAATCGTCAAAAATATTCGAGAGCGAAAAAGAAATAAAGCGGTAAATTAATCGAAATTCTTTATACAGGGTGTTTCAAAAAACATGTGCCATCTCTCGTGGGGAGATTCCTCACGTAAAAATAAGATTTTATTTTTTATATAAATATTGATTCCGGTTTGTTTCGTAGCTACAGAGGATTAAAAACTTATTATTTTCGATTTATTATAATTTTTTTCCAAGTGCTTTTATTGATTAAAATGAAATTTTGAGGGTAAAAGTTATGTGCTATAGTGTTACATATTATAATGCTAAAAAAGTATCGACAGATTCACCAAAGACGTGCATATGGGTTAAGATTGGAATATTTTTCTAAAAAGAACTGTGGAGATAATATGAAGTGTCCAGGGGAAGAACTTGATAAGCGCCAATTTCTTAATTTTAGGATTTTACAATATTATAGTAAGTCTAAATGGTCCCTACAAAATGTATAAACTCTGCAGGGCAATAAGTAATTAAATCCTATGATAATATGACTAGTAAAAATCTAGAATACACTGAAGAACCTGATAACCACCAGCCGTCCAGTGTTCTCCTGTAAAATTAGTAAAATGGCGTTTATCGTGATTTTTCCCTTGGACCCTTCATATTTTACCTTTTCAAAATTTACTTAAATGGGATTTCCTATGTCCCGCGTTCCGATGTACCACACGGTATATACATATATTCTTCTTTTTCCAGTGTCGTGTTAATTATTATTATAATGTCGTTTCTGTCTACTAGTCCGTTGTACATTACTTTAGTTTTTGCTAAATTTATTTTTAGACCTACTTTATTGCTAGGTATATGCAGAGGAGAAATGTGCCTTTAGCCTTTACTTTTAACAGTTATTTTATCGTTTAATATATTTTTTTTGTTTTAAGATTAGTGCTCTCTTCCGAAACGAACTCCACATGGAGATCCTGGGCCAATTCGAGATGAAAATCAACGAAGGCAAGGCTAAGAGCGAAGACAAAGTTATGACCGACATTCTCCTCCACCAATCCAACTACGAAAAACTGGTCATGTCCAAGATGGGTCAGGTGAAGATCCAGAAGGAGTTTATGCTCGAGAACAAGTTCATCCAAGGCGAGAATTTGCACAAGCTCAAGGACCGCGAGTTCGTCAACGCAATGATGATGAAAAACAAGGACCTAAAAGAGAACAAAACGATCTATTACTTGGAGAAGGACAGATATTTGGAGTTGCACCGTAGGATTTGGAACGAGCGGTTGAGACTCAGGCACGAAAGAGAAAAGAGAATATGTTCGGAAGCGTTCAGAGATATCTCTGATATAGCGGTTAAAATAGCGGAGCACAAGAAGAAATTCGGGAGAGATTTAGATTTACGCGAAATGGGCGAATTAAGAAAGGTTTTCGTCTCTTGCCAGCCCGTGTTCGATGTGACCGAACCCGGTACTCAAATCATCGCATCAAGGGAATCCTTCGAAGACGTGGAGGAAATAGTCACCAAAGAAATAGATAAACAGGATGCGATAGACGCCGAAGAGTTCAACGATTACGTCGATTACCTGTGGCCGTGGGAACTAAAAAATGTCACGATAACTGAAGAAAACTTAGATAAAATAAGCAGAGGACTTAACGTGCTCGGTCATATCATACATCAAGTCCTTTTAGCCAAGCATCCTTTACCTCCATTACCGGAAAGGCCACAATTTCCCGATGTCGACATTCGCGTGTGTATAAACGGTTTGAATGATATGAACTCTTTGCCGGTGTTGAGAAACTTGTTGGCTCATAAGAAGATCGAAGTGGTGGAAATGACTCAGGCGACGACGTACTGCATAGAAGCGTTTCATGAAGAGAATAGGCGGGAATATGATGTCGATGTCGTACCAACGAAGGAGGTAATTGTAACACCTTGATTAATCAAGGTGTTAAACTATTAAAACTAATATTTAGTGTTAAAAGTTTTTAGACACCTTAATGAATCCTAAGCAAAAATATATATAGAAGTAGTACTTTTTGAATATACTCTCACCGGCACGAAAAACGGGACCTTAAAATTTTGATGTATTTCAAAATTTTATATATTATTGTGTTCTAGTTGACCGATTTTGATGATCTTTTAAGCAATTTGTAGCTTAATTATTTGGCTGTTGGGCATCAGTTACTAGCAGAAATGGTATTAAGGCCAGAAGTTTCCGCTATAGTTGCTTTAGTCGAAGATGATATATAGAGATCGAAATTACATCGAAATTTCTTGCTGTCTTAACATATTCCACAGGTAGTTTCAAACTTTCACCAAAATCTCAACATTTTGTTTTCCCTCGTATAATTGACAGATGGAAACTTTTATTTTTATTTATTTTTTTAATTTAGAAAGAGATACTAAAAAGTCAAATAATTTGGCTACATACTACTTAAAAAATTATCAAAATCTGACACTAGAACAAAATATATTAAATATTATAATATTAAACTTTAAAATGCATCAACATTTTAAGGTTTCCGTTTTTTGTGCTGGTGAGTGTCATACATACCTATACAAGGTTTATATAAAAGTAGTACTTTTCGAATGACATATTCTTACTTTTGTCTAAATTAAATTTTAATTTTTGAAAATTTTACTATGAATATGAATTAACTTAACTTTATGTAATTTTTTAATGTTTCAATTTTGTTGTTTGTGATTAAAGAAACGGAAAGATGTCGCACCGAAAGTAAAGGAAAAGGGCAAAAAATCAAAATCCAAAGGTAAATCTTTAAAATCGAACGATATCGACCTTCAAGATGACGTAGAACCTGTAAAAACCTACGAAAATAAAAACATACAAACACCGATTGTGTTTCCATGCGAGGAAATAATTTTGTCCACACAAGCCGCCCTGGGCAAAACTGCCGAAGAACTACTCAATGCCGGACAACCTTTGACAGATTTCCTCTTAACCGCCATGTTGGTTGAGTACTTGAAGTCTCTACAGCCCGAGATGAAGGGATGGGTGCTTATTAACTATCCCACAAACTTCGAACAAGCTGCCATATTAGAAGAAGCTTTTACCGGAGAAAGGATACTGAACATGGAGGAGTATGTAGAAACAAAAAGTATTTCGGAATTGGTAGACACGAAATCGGAGATGGACAAAGACATTAGCAGCCTGTTATCTGAAGGTTCTTGCAGGAGACATTCAACTCTTATGCCCGAACCGTACAAGCCCGTCCCTGTGATCGTATACGACACAATCCTTACCGCTTATATCAAACTAAAACCACTAACGGATGGTGTTAGTGGAGGCGAGTCAAATTTGCCTCCGGTTTTTGAGGAATCCGGCGCGAATCCAAATCCTTTGGATAAATACTATTCCGATACGGGAGTGAATTATTCGATGTACTACAAGGACTTTGATTTTGCCACTATAAAGTATTTGGGCAAGTTGATCATCGGGGACTATAGTTTGCCGTTGAAGTCGTCCATGGAATTGTTTGGTGACGCTCAGACCAGGGATGTGCAGGGTGAGGCGACGAGAAGTGTGAAGTCGGCAAAAAAAGGAGAAAAATTGAAGAGACCCAAGGTAAGGAGTCCTATCGATAAGGAGTCGATTATGAGTGACAATACGGAAATGGAATCCAAAAGAACTAAATCAGGTAATTGCGAATAAAGAACTTTGTTAATATCAAAATTCATATTCTTCAAAGTTCAAATTCAAAGTGTTCCATGCATTATTTTTTATCAGTTTGAATTATTAATATTAAATTATGAATTATTAATCTGAACTTTTAATTTAACTGACCATCTAATTGTGGGCTAAAAAACACTGAATCCAAAACCATTTCTTATAATCTAAACGTGTAATGTTCTATGAAAGTCACAATTTAATAAGAAAGTCTCTATTTTTTTAGTTAAATATATCAGTTATGCATGTAACTGACAACAATTACTTAAATTTAAAACGGTTATTATTTTTAACACATCTCATGATTATTTTGCTCTATAGAAAAGAAAGACAAGAAATCCAAAATAAAAGCACTAATTGTTCATGAAGATAAGAGTGTCCAAGTACCAGAAGTAGATGAAGAAATTGAAGACATTTTGGAAGGTGAACCATCCCAAGTTCGGGTTCCATTAGTGGGCGAACCAGATTGGCAGTACGTTATTGTTCCAGTTCCAGAGGATTATATGGTAATAAACACTTAAATTAATATTATCTTAAATACACACTAAACAGGCCTGTGTATAATACTAATAATTTTAATGACGATGTATTCAGAGAATTACATAAATTCACAACTTTTAATATTAATATTTTAGTATAAGTTTATACTTTTTTTATAATTATTTATATGTATTATTAAATAATGTCTTATGAATTTAAAAAGTTTTGCTTGGACACTGTGTATCTTTAGTATACAGGGTGTTGTTGAAATGGTGTAAAAAATCGGGGGGGGGGTGATAGTACTCCTTAAAATAGTAAAAAAAGTTCCTATAAGTATAGGGCGGAAAATGCATATATATATAATGCATAAGGAGCTAGGGGTACTGAAAGGGTGAATTTAAAATACGGTTGTTTTGAAATTGTAGGCTTAAAAAAATTTTGAAAAAAAATCCTCTGCCATAAATTTTGACCCTAAATCAAATGGTGATACTGAAAAATTATTTGGAAAAGCGGAAAGGGTAGATTTTGCAAGGTTAGGGGATTGTTCATTATCATGAAATTTTGATATTCCAATTAATTATTTAATAACTACTTGGTTACTTTTGAACCGCCATAACTTTCATAAATTTATGTTGATTAACCAGTTAGCAACCTATCAGAGCAAACTCTTTGCCTGCAATTTTCTCGAAAACAATCACTCTGGGCGATGTGCAACAAGAGTTTCTTTTTTGTAGGAAAGGGTATGTAGTTTTCAAAAATGAACCCACGTTGCAAAAAAAAATAGCCTCAAAAAAGTTATTCACGAACAACCCTTTACCCTTGCAAAAACTACCCTTTCCGCCTTTCCTATATAATATATAATAAATAATTTTTCAGTGTCACCATTTAATTTAGGGTCAAAATTGAAAATGGCAGAGGATTTTTTTTCAAAATTTTATCTCGTTTCAAAATTTTATCTCGTTCCAAAGCCTACAATTTCAAAAAAACCGTTTTTTAAATTCACCCTTTCATTGCCCCTAACTCACTTTATATGCATTTTCCGCCCTATACTTATAGGAACCTTTTTTACTATTTTTAGGAGTACTATCACCCCCCGATTTTTTTTACACCATTTCAATGACACCCTGTATATTATTTACAAATTTAAGATTCCCTTGGCAAGTATTTGGGAATCGGCCGAAGAAATCTACACGAACGACTTGAAGCAGCTCTTGTTTATGAAACGGACCAAGATGAATTTGTTGGCTCCATTCACTAACCGCGTGAAGGAAACCATGCAAAAATTCATCGACAGACCCGATTGTAAAGGCCAGTATTTGGCCAAGTTCCAACAGGCCTTCAATGCTTTCGACATGGATTTTCGCAAGGATGACGAATTCAAAGCCGAGATGCATTGCAGGTACACTTTTTTGGAATGGAAAGTTATCGAAACAAGCACAAAGTTATTTATTTTTTTCAAGGATTGCTGATTTTAAGGAGAAACTGACTGAACTGTGTGACGAAAAAATGCTGATTTCCGAGAGCGGTCGTTGCGGAATTATCAACGCCAACTGGGCTCCGAAAGAAATCGCCGCTCTTCTCAACGATTTCATCAACATGCTCCAGATCGAAATCGATAGATATGTCCAAAGCGTGTGGCTCGCGGACAACTATTTCTCCGGAGTTTTTACCAACACTCCGAACGCCACTGACATTGCGGAAGATAATTTGCCCAAAATACACTCAATAGGCGAGTTGAACGTGTCGAAATATTAATACACTCACCGGCACGAAAAACGGACATTTTTAAAGTGTTATTTATAATATTGTTTTCTAGTGGATCGATTTAGATGATTTTTAAGCAGTTTGTAGCTAAATTATTTGACTTTTTAGTATCTCTTTTTAAATCTGGAATTATTGCTAAGAAACAACCGTTTGCCAGATTTTCAAATTTATAATGAATTGCACTTAAGAAACGGACATGTAATTGAACGGACTGTAAGAAGGTTAAACGAAAAAATGTTAATGTCTTTTTTAAAAGCGAATATCCCCAATAAAAATAAAGCTATTGAGATGAAAAACATAAACTATTGGGGAAGAATGTACCTGGCTATATTCTACAGGGTGTTTCAAACTTTTACCAAAATACCTTTTTAATTTTGATTTCTCTCGTATAATTGATAGATGGGAACTTTTATTTTTAATTTTAATTTAAACTTTAAAATACATCAAAATTGTAAGGCGCCCGTTTTTCGTGCCAGCGAGTGCATATTACCTTAAAAATATGCATGATACCGATCTAGACAAAGTTGCCACTTATTGTGAAACAATTTTCAGATCCTCGAGTAGTAAACGACTTGTTCCAGATAAGAGACAGCGAAATAGACTTGTCCTACTTCGATACAGTTCTCAGAGATTTGATCCGCAAAGCTCACGAATTCGTTAAGAAAAACACGGCAGCCTCCCAAGCCACTCAAGAGAAAATCAGGTCGAGCAGCGTGGACGGTGCCAATAAGAGCAAAAGCAAAGGGGGGTCCACCAAATCCAAAGCCTCCCACGGTTAGAATAATAGCTCATTAATTATTACATTGATTTTTTTTTCGTTTTGTTTAAATGAAAAATTATTTAAATACTAGCACTAATTTCTGAGACACCCTGTATTTCGGTTTTTCTTTTTATTGTAGAAGAGAAAAATGCCCAGGATTTGCAACAGGACGTGGTTAAAGAACGTACACCCGAACTACTCACCGAATGGCAATGTGCCGTAGAGGGTGAAACTCTCAGAGTACTCTTAAGACTCGACCTAATCAAACACGTGGCTCTGGAAACTATCGGCGAGTTTGTCCGATACGTTTGTGAAACTTTTCATTCCGTTTTCGACGAGATCAATGCAAGATACCGAAAAGAAGTCGAAAGTATTGAATCTGCCTGCAGACTATTCCAAACTGCTGTAGAAAAGGAAAGATCCCTCCAAAAAGAACTGACTTTCGAAGGTTCTGCTTTTCACATCAATTCAGAAGTGAACTTATTCGAAAACCCACCAATTGTACCCGACTTGCCGAAAGAGGTCGTAGAAAAAGGTGCCTTTACAGTATCCCAACTTTCAAACTTGGTTAAAATCTTAACGGACTTGTGTCCTTCGGGCTACATACCTAAAACAAGTTTTCTCTATATTCTCCAAGATATTATCGTGGACGAATCCGCAGCACCGCCTCTTTGGAGACGCCTGGATTCGAAAAACTTAAGACACCTTATCGATTTCTTGTTCGACGACTTGGAGTACCTTTACTGGAGGGATTTTATCGTGTATAATTTAAGGGTTGCTTTTCCCGACGAAAAAGAACTGTTATTGATCAGAAAACGGTTGAAAGAGTGCGATCCAGATAATATAGAAGCTATCCATGACTACCAGTTTTTCGGAACTAAGCTATGGTTCGAGCTGGTAGTAAATGTGAAGGATCAAACGAAGATAAAAGATGTGAAAGAGTTGTTATTTAAAATGTACAGCGTCGACAAGGATTGGGTTAATTATACTGCACTATTATTAGATTTTTGTAAAGACGAAAGTCCGTTGATTGGTTTTGCGAAAGCTTTAGAACTGTCACTGGGAAAAAAGGTGTGTTGGGACAAAGATACCGGAAATGCTTTTACAGAGCAGTTCATGAAGAACATGGACGAGCACGAGCAACACGTTCGGCTCAAACAAGAAGAAAAAGAGGAATACTTTAAAGCGGTGCGTCAAGAATTAAATAAATTGGTTGACCGAGTGATTAATTCAAGCGATGGCGTAGTAATAACTGAGATTAATGAAGAATCAGCAGAACCTCGTACGAAGCGACCAAATAGACCGAAGAGTGAGGTCTCCGAAGTCAACAAAACGCCATTGTCCAGCACCAAAGATGAAGTTAGGTTTTATGATACGGATACTGATCAACCGAACGATAACCAAACTTCGCCAGACTTGCATAATCAAGTCGATACGGAGGCTTCTGATTTTACACAAATAGCTTTCTTTCTACCTTTGGACGTGTTAATTACTGTGATAACGACGGCTCTTCCTTGGCACTGTAAGGTTCAGTACTACGAGGAGCTGAGTTTGTGGGAACAGGCGGCTAAGTTGCACGCGCACAGCGCCGATCCAAATTTTAATGGGTCCGTGTTGACACACAACTTTCTCAATAGCAACGAGTTTTTGAAACTGTTAGGACAGACCTCTAAATTCACTATTAAGGATCCGGTGAGGAAAATTAAGGAAATATTTGACGAATGTATAGAATAGTATTTTTGGTAAATAAATGAAATGAAAAAAAATTGTTCCATTTGTTCTTATATGATTAAGGGACGTATTAAGTGAGGAAACAAAAATAATACAAATTTAGAATAATAAAAAATCTCATTTTATTTCAAACGTTACGAGGAATATCACATTTCTGGAATTGTTTAAATTGTGGTAACTTTAAAAATCTTAAAATTTCAGAAGCTATATAATGGCAATTATAATGTCTAGAATAGTGGCATTGTGGCGAAAAAATATACAGTATGAGTCAAGAGTTGCACCTCCATTTCTAAATTTGTGATAATTATACAGCGTGATCTATAGAAAAATATGGCAAATTGCCATTTATTTAATCGCTTCATGAAGTAAAATACATACTTCATAACCTTAAACTGTGGATAACAAAAGAAGATTTTAAAGATTTATTTGTATTTAAAACAAACTAAATGTGATTAAATTATGTTCATACTTTTTGTAATAAAAAGTTTATCCAACACAAATATGTTATGATAAAGAGTAATCATGTTATTTCGTTTATTTTCTCTAATAGATGATTAAATTCTCAGCAATCATATATTAGTTTTTGCCATTTAAAATTGGGCTTACATTTATTTTATGCAACTCTCGACTCACCATTTTTAGTTTGCTTTCCTTAAGCCTATTATTTAACGTATTTTGTCACAGCCAACATAAAACAAATTCTGCTAATAAATTGTAGCATATTTCACATATAAAATCTATGAAAATAATATAATTCACAACGAGTTTAAATTGAAGCCATCACAGTGATTATCTATTAGTCGTAGACATATTTATTTGAATTTGAAAATATTTGTGATAAAGTAAGATGAAAATTTTTATTTCTGAAATACTATTGATACAAATCAAAATATCTGTGTTGGTTGGAATAAATCAGAACTCACTTGTTTACCCATATCACTATATTAGCTTCAACCGGAACGGATATGATATAGTCTTTATTTACATACAAGGTGTTCACTATAAAAATGCAACCCTTTTTACTGTATCAATTACTATAACTTGCATTTTTGTTTTTCGAAATCAAATATGCAAGTCGTTAAAATACTTTGCATTTATATACAAAGAACACCCTATATATTTGATAGCTAAGCGTATTTTTAAGAAACTTTTATAGTTTGTGTTAACTAATAGATATTTTAAGGTGATATTAACACAAAAGCATTTATAATTTTCTGATACTATTGTAGAAATGTTATTTTAAGCCTCAAAATTGAAAAGCACATAGATAATATATTTAAGTTAGTTATACAAACAACATTTAAAGTAAAAAAAAATTTTTTTGGCACCTACCAGCTACTGATCTATATTTACAATAAATTGTAGCAATAATCTATATTTATGCTATTAAAATAGGTGTTCTTTTCGTTTCTTTAATAATCATTTCGACATTTTTTTTTATTTTTGTCTCTTATCAAATTTATTTTTCAATACCTAATGGACAATGAGCAACAAATAACACGACAACAAGACATCTAGAATAATGAAATCACAACGAAATATATTTTTATAAACGTAACATTTTCCTTTTTAAACTTCATTTTTCGTTTATAAACAAATAACAAAAGGACAAAAAATCGAACCAAGTAAACATAACTCTATCTTACTTAAGACCCTGTAACTTTTAATACAAATTAATAGGAAAAATTAATTAATAATTTGTTAGTAAATTTAAATTAGCTAATTATAAATTTTGTGTAAAAAATCTCACATTGGGTTCACTAAGTTGTGCGCCGATTTTTTTTCTACATTAATTACCCCACTATTAGCTCTTCTTTGGATGATTTAATTTTACTAATATCCATGTGTAGAGTAACTTCTGTTTTTTCCTTACCAGTTCGTAGGATAAATTGTTTAAACCGTCTTTGTCAAACATTTTTTGGCCTTTTCTCAAAATGTCGTATCTGCAAATTAACAAATTATATTTTCCTTTTGTTTTAAAACTTAAAATATATAAAATATTTTTATTTAAAATTATAGTAAAACCATACTGACCTATTCGGATTCGGTTTATCTTTCGTATGGGTCAGCATGGTATATCTTGCGATGGTAATGGGATATCTGGAGATGTAGAGATGGTGGTGCCTGATTCTGTTGGACATATCGTCATCTTCACCACCCCAACCCCAGAAGGAGTTGGAGAACCCATTAAGCAGCTTAAAATGTTCGGTACTTATGGCAGAAACTCCACCAAAAATTGCTGGGTATGGCAACCTAAAGTTCAAAGGATGTTACCATACCTATCTCTAATTTTAATGTTTTTTAAATTGAAAAAAATACACAAATTACCAAAAAAAATCTTACTTGTATTTAAATATATCGACGGCTACGCTCATGTGTCTGGGCTGTTGGGGACAAGAATAAATATTTCTGTCGTCTTCAGGCAAAAGGTCGATATCATGGAATATGAAACAGTCGAAGTCGTTTTGCTTCAATGCTTCGACGTATCCAACGTTCATTAGCATGGCCCTATGAGAAAACTTATTTAAATAAAAATATATTGTTTGCTTTTAAGCGTTTTATTTCTTTAATTTTGTCAAACGTATTCCAGCAAAAATTAAAACTGTTTCTCCCCGGATTGTCTTTACAAGGGAAAAAAGCTGTTTCACGGCACCAAAATTATAAAAGAAGAATCTACCATCTCGATTACTAAGTAAATCTAAACAGTGCCCTTAAAAATAAAGTATTTTAATTAGAATAGAATATATCATATTGTGCAATAGCCAAGTCTTTATAATTATTAGAGAATTAAAGATGACTAATATTGATATTAACAATTTATAACAAAATTGTTGAATATGTGCTTAAAGAGGGATTAAATAAAATAAACTGTCTGAGTTTTATGTACATGAGATCTCATAAATTTTTATAAGAATTGTATTGCGATACTTGGCTTTTTTTACATTCTATGTTTTTGATAGGATTTAATTTTCTCTAAAACTGTATAAAACTTTGGAAATGGGTAAACGGAATTAACCATTTTAGAACATGCACATTTTTTTGTGAAGAATGTATTTTCTCACAATATCAATATTAAAAAAGGTTTTCCTCTTGTAAAGACAATCCGGGGACATACTGTATAAATAAAACAGTTTAGATTTACAGGAGCATTTGTACTGAATGTATAATATTCTAGGATAATACGTATAGTTACAATACCACTCAGTTTTGAGTAGACACACACAAACAGAAAACACATATGCATAGTTGCATAGAGCTTGAGCTGCATATTTGGTATGTGGACATCTCGCATACGAGAATATTATTGACAATCGATATTGTTTACGTCACGCGAAATTAAATACTTGCCCCAGAAGAAAACATTCACTTTAGAAAAATAGCACTATCGATTTCTAGGTATTATTAGACATAGTAAACAAAATATGTTGATTTTATTCTAATTTAAACTTAATGAGTAAATGTTATAATGCTTTTACCTGTTAAATGGTCCATCTCCTTCTTGCTCGACTACGAAAATCGTGTAGTCCAGCTGTTGTTTCTTGAGAAAAGGGTGCATATGCTGCAAAAATAACAACAGGTGTTCTCCTCTGCACCTGAACGGTATGACGATGGCGACTTTTTTCTCCGCAGAGCATTTCGGCGGTGACCAATGTCCCCCCGGTCTAAGCCAGGAAAATCTTTCTTCCAGACTTTGGACTGACGGAACGGGATATCGAACTATTTGAACCCTACCATCTAGAAAACAACCAAATTATCCATCCATACATATATAAAAGCTCAAAGGGTTTTTTTGTTACATCCATCCCGCCGAGACCGCTTCACCAATCTTGATGATTCTTTTTTTAAATAAAAGGTATATATGTCTAGATTTGTTATGAAGTATTTTTATATCGTTTAATCGCTATTTCATTATGTAAAACGAATAAATATTAAAACATACCTGAACAACACCTACACACATATAATATGCATATAATACCTAAAGAAATAAATTATTTGTCATTGTCAGTGGTGTGTCAGTGAGATTATTTATCAAGTTTTTAGATAATTTAGGGGTCAGTTCATACCGCGAGCTTTAGATACATAAATATTAGTACAAAGGTTCGTTTAAATGACATTAGTGATTAGTGAATTAGCTACGTAAAGCGATTTTAGAAAACTCATCCTCTACAGTGTAAAATTATGTCCAACAATTTGTTGTATGAAAATTGCTTACTATCTGATCTAGAAGAATGAAGATCTACAAAAAGAATTATAAGAGATTTGTGAAATTCATCAATCAAATAGGCAAAGTTAGTAAAATGTTTATATACATAATCTTCGTGACCTCGGGATTAAACACATAAAAATTTGCACAAAGGATCATTTAAAAGACATGAGTTAATTATTTGGGCAAAGCGAATTTACGAAATTCCTACCCTTCAGGAGTAGAATAGGAAATGAAAGTTTGCTGTACGAAAGTGCATTATTATAACATCTAGAAGTATAAAATTTATACAAGGGTTTATTTAGTGACATCAGTAATATGAACCAAATATTTCTTCTTCAAATCATTCTTCTAGGAATAAAAAGTAACATATAAAGAGTGTATTAGAGCTCTTGAAAAATAAAAAAAAAAAACAATGGAATATATCAAGAAAAGTAACAATTAAAAACTTCAAATATTCAATTCAGAACTCTATTTGTCGAAGCTATTTATTCAAGTAATACAGTTTATATGGGACTATAGGTAGTTTTCTATCAGAGAAGAACAATCGGTTGTTCTTCTCTGGTTCTATCCATAGGGGGATTAATCATTTCACTATTTATGTTTTTCGAGATTTTTTCATTTTTTTTTTAACTTTTTTGGAAAATTTGGAATTTTTTGAAAAACTTTTTTTTAGTTTTTAGTTAAAAACCATAATTGCTTGATAATATGGTAACATAGATAGCAGAATAAATTTACCACACAGAAAAACACGAAAAGCTGCAGTGGTTCTCAAAATTTAAGCAAAAAATATTTTTTTTTTAAATTTTTAAAGTAAAATAACTCGGTTATTTTGGAGTTATTTGAAAAACGGTAAAGAGAAAATATGTTTCTTTTATCGAGATCTACCAGCCTTGAAAATATTTGCACTTATTCAAGACTCTCCCTGTATAATACCCAGAAAATCGACAATTATTGCTAACTTTCATATGAAATACGAGTAGCTCTAAATCGCTTAAAAACATAGTTTACATAGTGCATTTGTAAGGTTCACTAGCTCTATCTATAAAGAGTTAAACAATCATTTAAATCAATGCATAAACGATTCGAGGTGTAACGCGAACGTAGTCGCGGGAAAAAAACTAGTATTTGTTATGGTTAGTATTATTTTGTTATACTGGGTACTTCCATTACTAATAGTAATTTTTTTCTAAGATGCATTAATGGCTATAATAATAATAGGGCAATTACACTGTAGTTCTTCGTGTATAATGAGACGTATGTCAGTTTGACCTGAAAAGGGTCTCATTTCGCCCACAACGTAAAGGAAACTCCGGAGGAAACTTATTACCGCAAAGAAAAGATATTTCATTTCTGACATTTTACAAACGTCGGTCTTTCACAAAGGAAATGCACGTTTTGTGTTCTAAAGAACGAAATGTTTGTTACATTTTTCCTTAAATTATAAACTAATATAAAAACAAAGACTTGTATAATAGATAATTTCTCAAAAAAAGAAAAATAATGTAGTTTTCAAGCAATTTATTTTATTTTAGAACATTCTGAATAGCTTTAAAAAAATTATAGGTACTTACATAAAGTCTGTGATATATCCGGACACAAAGGCATTTCGGTACTGCTAGGAAGTTTCTCCTCCAAACTAGCGGAAACATTTTCATTTTTTTGACTTTCGTAAGAACTGACCACAGAACCAGTCTGCGAGCTTATTACCCCGTAAGTCGACGTAATATTTTCCGTTAAAAATGGAGGTATGGTAACGATATATTCAAAGTTGGAGATGTTAAGCAGGAATTTGGCAGATTTGTAATAAATTCTCGAGGGAACAGGGTGGCGAGATAAAGAAGAGTTATTGGTTGAGTTTTTCGGATGGTTTTTGAACAGAAGCGTTTTCAGAAGAGGGCCGTAGTTGATAGCCGATTTATCGTAGTAAGATGACGGTCTGAAAGATAATAAAAAAGAGGCTTTAGTATTTAAAATATAAGGAATATTTATTACAACCTAACCTAACCAAATATGTGATACCATTTACTTTTTAAAACTATATTAATGTTTTAAAGGCATTATAGTTGAATTAACTAGCGGGCGTTTAAAAAGTTAACAAACGACATCTCACCTGGTACTGGTAGTGTTGAAAACTGCATCTTTGGTATCCGATATTGAATTGAAAAAGTACTCTAGTGCGACGAAAACTAAAATTAGGACAAATAGCCCCTTGTAGGGGGTTCCGTGAGCCGCACAGAGGGACATGTCCCTCTCACGTGAGATTTTGAAATGTCATATTTGCGGCTAGGCTCACTGCGATCTGGAAACGAAAAAAGTTCTATTGACAATGAAACTCTGTTTTTTTATATATAAAAAGTAACTCAGGGTAAAAATGAAAAGCTTTTGTTTCGTTCATGACATTTGAACGAGTTTTGTCATTTTTGGTGTCAAAATATATTAATTTTATTAAAGCTCACATGAGTTTTAAATTAAAATATAAACAAGACTAATAGGTATTATAACATTACATTTTTAAATACTTAAAAAAGAATGGTTAAAATCATCCACAAAAGCAGCTCCAACCTACAGTTGTATATTTTAATTTAACTAAGAAGTAATGAGTAATAGTTAAGATTAACAAATTTTGGAGACTTAACAAAATATACACTTGATAATAGAAGTTTAATAAATTATTAAAAAAAATAATAACTTAAGTAAAATTGCATTTTCTGGAAAGTAACTGGAACAATTTTAAATTCTAAACAACTTAAGGATTTATCTATCTATCCATTATTTAATGCTGTTTCGATTTTAAGCCGTTCCGTTGTACCGAGACACGAATGCATAAAACATCATTTTTCGAGTTCAACCCGAACACCCTCGATACATTAACAGCGTGAAAAAGTTTCCTTCGGCACGAAGTCCAGACCTCTTGCAACGTTAAAGAACTTCCTCTTTATGGAAATCGCATACATTATTATCCGAAAGCCTTGAACTTTGACGAGGTCCGTGCTGGAAGTATATGGCGACCCGCTTGAGGAGATGTGAATTTTTAATCACGAGAATATTGAGCTCTTTTTCAGGTTTTCTTTCACGTCGTATTGCTAAGAAGCCATACGCTCGAAATAGTATCTTAAAAACTCTAATTTAAAAAAGTCTGGAAGATTACAAAAAATATGGAAGAAATTTCCCCTTTTTAACTTTAATTAATTTGTGTAATTTTCCACAGCTAAGAAATTGTCGCATACTACTAATAAGTGTTTCAGTGTTTCTTTTAATTAAATATTATGTATTAAGAAAATAATTAAACAAAAACAAAACACAAATAACCAATTAAAGCCTATTTATAAATTTTAAAGCTAATTTAGAACTTAATCCATATAAAACGTCAGCTTTTAGAAAAGAACGAAATTTCAACCGGTAGAAATGAGGAAAAACAAAGAAAAATTAACAAAAAAGAAAAAGCTTATTTTCGTGAACCGTTTCAGGTTTTCGTCGTTGTTTGTCTTGAGATGCAGTGGTATAAATCAAAAAGTTTTAGTAAAAGGGGCAGTGCAATTATTTAGCGGTTCCATTAAATATACAGACTGTCTAGTTTCGTGGAAGGACTTTAACAGTTGGTAGGGCAAGAAATATTTAATGTTTGGTTTTTAAAATGACCTCTAATTAACTAATTTAATTCTATTCATATTCAGTATATTCAATTTATAAAATAAAATTACTCTTGGAGTTTAAATATGTTATGTTATGTTATAAGAGGTCTTATTAAACTCATAGTACTGCCACAATACTGCCATTACTTAAATCTTACACAGTAACAGAAAAAAATGAGCCGAGGTTTTAATAATGTCTAGGTCACCGACATCGAAGCAATAAGCTAGCAAAGGGGAGTCAATTCTCCTTTCACAATATCTATATAATTCAATTTTCGGGTGCCTTCTAGACTTAACCTTGGGGGCGCAGCCCTGTTTTATGATCTCTTTCTTTATTTGTCTTGAGAAAGTTCAAAGTGGTACGAACAACTGTGCATTGTTACTGCATGATCTCGTATATACGAAATATAGTAATGTAATAAATTACAATAAATTTGCGATATTGTTCTCCCCAAAAAATATTTTAATATGTAAATCATTTATTCTACATAGGTATATATAATTCTTAGTATATTTTTAGGGCGGGTTTCTATTCTAAAATTTTAGAAATATAAAATTTACTTTTACAATGTTAACAAAGACTAAAAGTGCTTTTGTTTGATGACAAATATTTATTTAGGAAAATCAATGAAAAGTAAACAATTTTTTGACTCATTTTTAGTGGATAGTTTGACTCAATTAATATTAACTATTAACTTTAAAATTATACTCTGAATTAAATGCACCGGCACGTAAAACGGGCATCTTAAAATTTTGATGTATGTTAAGGTTTAATATATTTTGTTCTAGTCTGCCGATTAGGAAATAAGTTTGGAACTTTTCTTGATTGGAACCAAAAGCAAAGGCATTGTTTTAATGTAAAAATTAGGAAAAAAATGTTAATGTCTTCTTCAAAAGCAAATAATATCTGCAAAAAAATGAAGCTATTGAAATGAACCCAAAAATAAACAATCGAGAAAAGACGCACCCAGATAATAAAATGATTTTCAAATTCTTTGCTTTTTTTAAGATATTCCAAAGCAAGTTCCAAACTTTTACTAAAATAACGACATTTTGTGGTCCCTCGTATAATTAACAGATGGGAACTTTCATTCTTAATTCAAAAAGAGATACTAAAAAGCCAAATAATTTAGCTACAAACTGTTTAAAAGATCATTAAAATCCGCCAACTAGAACACAATATATAAAACTTTAAAATACATCAAAATTTTCAGATCCAAAACTTTGAACTTGCCACAGTGCTAAATAACTACACACCCTTTCAGGGTTATTCCTCAGGGTCCTTGGAGCGGCCCGAAGCTCAACTCAACACGAAAAAGGTCCTTAAACACGTCTATTCTGTTTTCAAAACAAACTCAACCGACTTTAAATTGTCAAAAGGGCGTTCTAAATCCATTCTTACGCCCGTAAAACACGTTTCTAGCGTGCCAACAATCGCCAGGATCAGTTTCGCCCCTATTACTAATTACGATACCATTAGCCGAAAAGGAAACTGAAATTAATCCTTATCGCCGATCATAGTGTATTTTAAGTCTTTTTCTACGGTCAATTTACCATTACAATAATGACTTTAGTTGTACAAGATAGGCAGTTAACAGATATACAGGTACAATTGTGTTTTTTGTACCAATAGTAGGAATTTAATCCATAACTGTCACAGTTTTTAAGGGTGTTCTTTTGTAAGAAAAATAGTACCTAAGTAAACATAGATTTTATTATTTTAGAGCAATCGCTATATTAGTGATGCCCCCCAATCGAATTGTTTTTGGCAAGACTCATTAGATACGCTGCATATTTTTTTCGAAAATTGCAAGAAAAAATTACATATGAAAGACTCAGTAATATTATTTTATTCTTATTTTAATAATCTGAGTTTATTTTACTGTCAAGAAAAATATTCATTTATTTAATTCTATTATTCGAATAATTCTAGTTTCGAAGAAATTAGCGATTTTGTCCACTACACATACAACACTTTTCGAAAAAGAACGAAAGCTATAAATATAAAACTTAAGTAAAATAAGAAATACATTTTTTTCTTAGTAGATTATACATTTTCGTTGGTTACAGCACAGCTTTAACATTAACTAAAAGTTTACTAATTAACTTTAGTTTGTTAGTGCGCTAACGAGTTCAAAGAAAATCATTGATTCGTAAGATTGTGCTATTCACTGTGAATATTCGAATAAACAATTTGACTTGTTAACTATTGAAAATACATTCAAAATGATAAAGAGGTTAAAGAAATACCTATTTATAGTTTTACATACAGTGATTGCACATCTGAAAACAATTATATATTTTATTATAAATATATTATATCTTATAAATTACAATCCAGTTAAATAAGTCTTTGTAACTTTTATATGTTTATACTTTTTCTACAACTAATTACTTGTATTGTGCTTACCTAGCATTAACCTGAATTAAAACGTAAAAATAATAATAAAATTATTATCAATAAATATTGATATTTACTTTAACAAGTTGGAGAAATTATTTTAGATCTATGAGATAGTAAAATTTTACTTCTGTTTGTAGCAAGAAAATAAAACACTAATTTACCACAATGTACCAAGACACTTTTTAAACACTGGCGCGCTTGGTAAACCATGTTAGCATCATGGGCGGATGATTAAAACTACGTACCTATTTTGTGTATTATTTGTTACTGTCGGATAATTTTCAGAATATTGTTTACAATATGTTCAGATCGAATAAAGTAATATTTAACAAAACTTTAATACACTTTGTATGTTTTATTTCTAGTATACCCTTAGTTTATTTCTTTTATATTTTAGGTCAACAATTTTAGCAGTAAATATAATTCTGCAGAATATTTATAAGACCAATTCAAGCTGAAGCAGCTATAAAGTATTGGTAATTTAAAACATCCAGATTTTATAAGTTCTATCCGGCTTATAAAAACAATGAAAAATTTACGATTACGTCTGGTTTTTCTTCTCCTAAACGAATTGCGAAAACGCCGAAATCTGTTTTAAATCTAAGCACAACCTTAAAAACGTTTAATTTACTAATTGAAAGAAATTTGAATTTCTCTTCTATTTTTTCTTGTTTTTCATTTCTCTTGTTTCTGTACTTTTTGTCGCAAAAACAGTTTCCAATATTCAAAACAGCTACTTATGATACTTCATTTATGAATTTTTATATTTATTTACAAGTTGTAATAAAACAGGTATAATTTAACAATATTTGACACACGAATCTTTAAAACAAGTTGTAAAATTAAATTTAAAAATTACCCTTTTAATTTTTTTTTGTATACTTTTTTAAATAGTGGGTAAGTATAATTTTCAGATTAAAACACGAAGCCGGATAGAACACATGTTTATACTGTTAATTTTTCAGCAGGAAATCTCTTCTCTCGTCATTAGATTAAAGCATGTTTTTGTAATATTTTATAGTTTCGCATAAAAGTAATATTTATTTAAGCTCTAAATTAAGCTTAAAATTAGTAATACAAATATTTCAATGACAATTTTTGATTTGTTTTATACAAGGTTTAAATAAAAATATATTCTTATATAAATAATTTAAAAAAAAAACAACTTTTTCACCTCCAAAAATTACCATCATATTATCTATAACATTATTTAAAAGATATTACAATTTTAATTTTTTTTTTAATTAAAAAAAGACAACCACTTACAAGCTTTATTACAATTTTGGTTACGAATCAAATTTTGGCACTTTTCCACAAAATTTATCCCTTAGAGCGTAACCTTTTCTACCCCCAAGTTATTTTAATTTTATTTTGCAATTTTTACCACGTAAATATCCACAGAAAGTGTTCAAGTCAATCAATTTCAAAATTATGTTAATGTTACGGTTATCTTCTTATTGATACTGCTCCGATCACTAAGAACTTGATTTTAGCATAATTTTTCCTAATTCAAATTAAAAAAAATATTTTTGTTAACATATTTTATCTGAATATAAAAGATCTGTGATGATTTAAACTAATATTTAAAAAAAAAATTAAATGTTACTTTTTTATTTTTTAATATTGGTAATCAATTTAATATTTTAATTTATAAGATTTTACATAAAAATTAAATTACATTAATATAAAAAAAATAAATACATACTACCTACATTTCGATCTTAGAAACAAATCAAATTTTGGCATGTTTCCATAAAACTTACCCCCTAGAGTCTAACCTCCTCAACCCCCAACTAATTTCCCCTTTCTGTCGCCAGAACAACAGCAAAAAATCTTCAAGCCAGCCTTAAAATCATCTTAATGTTTATCCTCGACAGTTCTATCGAAAAAACCACGCACTTTTTCCGATATCGCCCGACAGACTCTGTAGTTTTCAGCAGCGACCCCGCTGTGGTGTTTCTCCAGTTCCTGCTGCCGGTCCTCTCGCATGGCCAGCAGGCCCTGCAAGCCGATTGGTCGCGGATCCTGCCGGGTCGATCGCTCGATACCAGTTCGGACGTACGTCCCGTCGAAGAACGTAACAGCAGGGTTTGAGGGGGCGGCATGTGCGAAGCGATGGGGGCTTATGGATTCATTCATAAGTATTCTTCGGGGGTGGAGGGTGTAAAAAACGGGGTTGCGGAGGGCTCGTCGTGTGTCTGTTCGCGGATTCTATTCGATCAAGCTGTTGCCAATAGATTTGTTTAAAAGTTGTAAAGGTCTTGTTTAGGTTGGTGGGGATATAAATATTTTCTGCTATATGTTTTTCTGAGTTCGTCTATTTTTTCTTCAAATTCAATATAAACTCACCGGCCACTAAAAACTAGTCCCAATTTCAAAGTTGGATTTCTCAAGAGCCACTCATTAGATTTTGATGATTTTTTTTTAATTATTGTAAAATAATTCCTTCTTAACGGATGCTACGTCAGAAATTTCTATTCCGAATTTATTTTGAGCATATACAGGGCACAACAATATGACGAAGTTTTTTGCCCGAACTTTGTAACACCCTGTAGGGTGTAGCAGCTGTAGTAGCTATTGCTAAATCAAATCACATTGTAGCCTCATCTTTTGTGAGTATTTTTTTTATTACGACATTATCTCTGTTGTATTAGAGATACGTTGCTTTAAAACGAACGTCTCGGAAAAATGCTTCGCAGGTAGAAAGTTAAGGTAAGAAAATAACAAAATAAAAACACTAAATAAACTGCTAGTTTATAATCAACTGCTGATGATGCTAACATGGTTAGCGAAACGCGCGTCCAGTGTAAAAGTAAAAGTGTTTTGGTGTATTGTGGGGATTTAGTGTTTTTATTTTGCTGTGTAACACCAAAGGTTCCAACCCTCAACTGTAATAGCAATAACTACTACAGCTGCTGCACTAGGGTGCATTTTTCCGAGAGTTGTTTCACCCTGTAGGCAGGGTGTTACAAAATTCGGCAAAAAACTTCGTCTAATTATTAAACATTGCACCTCCTTAAGGGGTAAATTTCCAAAAAATGATCGTTAGTGTTCAATTACGTTACCGTTAGAGGCGATTTAACAGATATTTGTACAAATTTTCTCCCTCTTAGGAGATGAATTTCTAAAAAAAGTTCCTGAGTATTCACTTTTTTTAATCTTATGGGACTTCTTAGTAGGTACTTAAGGGACCTCTGTAAAAAAATGTATACTCCTAAAACTGATGCCAATTTCACCCCTTATGAGATGAATTCTTGAAAATATCTTTTTATTGTTCAATTACTCCACTTAAAGGACCTCAGCAAAATTTCATACTCCTAGAACAGATTTTAACAAATTTTTATGCTTTTTTTACTACGACTAAGGATTATCAGACAACTTAATGGAAAATATGGGTCAATAATATGTTGCTGACTCCTGATTTGTGATACACTAATGAAAGATGGCTATTGTCCTGTTAGAAAATTTCAATAGGTGGCCAAATGATTTAACATTTTTTACTGTTACATAGAAACATTCTGGTGCAGCTAATAAGTGCGATAAAAATCAATTTTCTACAGGATAATTATTACTACTTACTAAAAATAAAACACATTGTTTTTTACTAAAATAACCTACTATATTTCTTAATAACAAGTTTTTCCATTAATAAGCAAAGGAAATGCAAATAAAATAGAGAAAAACAATATACTCGTTTTATTTATTTACATACACATAGTTTGTCTCCTGTCAAAGAGATTTTAAGTAAAATGACACATGTTAAGTTCTTTGAATCTCGTTTCGACTTGAAGTACTTTTTTCATCGCGAAAAAAGTACTCAAACCAGAATTAAGTTCTTCTGTGGTGGCATCTGTACGCTTACAGGTGAGAATTCATCTTCGAACGATACCTAGAATGCATAAAAAATATAAGTATTAATAGAACTGTTAAATTAAAACAGAATAAAAATAATATTGGACTATTAGTAAAAAGAACATTAAATTTGCTAATAAAGACATAGAGTTAAGTCAGTAAAAAGTTTCTAGGCACTATTATGTTAAAAAATTATATTTTTCTTTGCTTCTTTTAAATTTTTAATTTTGACAAAATTCTTACGGCAATTTCTGAAAACTGTTACATAGAGATAGATTTAACAGAAATTATCATCGGTTATCATTTTAAAGGCCACTGTGGCATCGATCTTTTCAATCTAGTGTTTTACTACTTAGAACTGAAGAGTTGTTGGCTTCATATAAATCAAACAGGTAAACTAAAAAACTGTGTTCTAACAGCAGTTATGTGACCATTCCCGTGAGAACCGGCGCATGATCACTCTGGTCCCAGGAATAGACATTGCAACTCAGCAAGATCGTGGGAAACGTAGTTTACTTTTTAAATAACATTGTATTAATAAATTATTCCTTGTTCTGTTGTCGTACTGTACACTAGCTTCTAAGTTTTTGAAAATAAATAAATTTTTAAAAACGAACTTCTGCCGTCGAACGATTTAAGTCAGCACATTTTTTTATATTTTTTTCTAGTTTTAAATCTATCTCATATAAAAAAATATAATTAATTACTGTTTTTACGCACCCATTGACTATTATTACTGACATTTCTGGTCATACACAGCTCATCAAACTCCCAATCATCTTCCTCCACTTCATTGTCAAAGTCTATTAATTTTTCTTCGCTAACTACCCTACTTTTTCCTAGATTTTCTTTAACACCTATATCTTCAACTTTAACTTCTTCCACTGCGGGTTTATCGGGACTTTTTTGCATCTGTTCAATATGCGGCATATCTCGCCAATTTTCGTAAGCCGAAGTGAAGATTTTGCCAACGGCTAATGTCACCGCTTCCGCCGTTTTCCTTTTGAAGCAGAAGAACGCGTGACATTCCGTCGTGTCATTTTCGTCCGTAGCTATGAATGAGAAGAATTGCCGGTGGGTTGAATCAGACGCACAGTTAGAAATCCTAAAAAGAAACATCAAACAGTTCAAAACAATTCTAACATATTAGTAGATTTAAATTAAACAACGGTAGAGCAAATAAACAAAAAAAGATAAATAAATATAGGTAGATGTAGATAATAAGAGTATGAACAGAGGTACTCTGTGTTCTTCTCGCCATAGTTTTTAACAATTATTATCTTTTGTATTTGCAATATTTTTTTTTAACAAATCTTATTGTTAAACCTACCTAAATATAGATACTTTAAATAGATCGTTGCCCTTTAAATCTGTGACGTTGATTCCTTGGGTGGAAATTGCAACGTTCACCCTCTGTAAGTCCTTCTGTCGTTTCTTGGCTGTTTTTATGATGTTCTTTACGGCCTCTGAACTAACGTTTTTATGGTCTGTCGATGTTTTGTCCACCACTGTACTACCTAAAATATTAGAGAAGAGTTAATAAATCTGATCCATTAAATAATAGGTTTTTTATTGCCTCAGTACTAGAAATCTTTTCTACTAAAATAAAAAAAAAAATATGCCTAGACATTGCTTGAACAGATTAAATTTACAAGAAAAAAAAGAGGAAAGATCCAGTTCTCAAATTTTAAGCAAAAAATCTTTTTTTTTCGAATTTTCGAAGTAAAATATTTCGGATATTTTGGACGTATTTGAAAAACGGTAAAGAGAAAATATATTTCTTTTATCGAGATCTATACCAACCCTGAAAATATTTGCACTTATTTAAGACCCGCCCTGTATAGTAATAACAGTAATTTACTTTTACAAATTTCTAGCTAAAAAATACTCCAGAAAAAAAATAAAACTTAAAATATCTAAATTTTAAGCTTTTGACAAAACTTGCACACAACAGTAAAAAAAATAAGTTTTCGCAGAAGGCATACTGATGAAACATTAGTTCTCTAAACATAAACAATATAAATACTAAGTAATTTTATAGTAACAAAAACACTAAATTCGTAGAAACGACATAACAGTAAATTTAGAATAATATTTGTTCGTTTTCACTCCAGCTTTGTATACTTTTTATTGCAAGAAAGACCATAATCACTTCATGGCTTTTTAATGAAAGATTTCTCATAAATATTTGTACAAACACTTAATGAGTGCAGCAGCTCTAAATGTAATAAATTACCAAAATATTTCAATTCGAACGTCACCACGTCATTTTCTGTTTCCATCGTGTCGTTTTCTGGTTCTATGATCACTTCTTTTCCGGTTTGTAAAGCTTGGTCTTCTGATAATTCTGTAACAAAATAGAAAATATATAAATAAGAAAATAGAGATGAGAGAATCACAATGCACGTTTTTAATCATATGACATTTATTTTATTAGCTTTAATGAAGAGAGAGTATCTGGTAAAAAAGTTATTTCAATAACCTATCTGTATCTCGATATTTAGGGTAGTAATTTCCTCTCTAAGTTTTCTTTCTGTCTGTAAAAGTTGTTTATATTTTTCCAATACCCTTCTGATACGAGAAGCAGTAGAACTGGCTGCTGCTCTCGCTATCTTATAAATCAATCCCAGCATTTTTATTTTCTTCCTGCTTCTTTATAGTTTCTCCCAGTTGAAAATTTAAACTTACTTTAGCTCTATATGAATCTAGAACTTTATAAAAAAATAATTATTATTTTTACAATAAAATTTATTAAAAAAAATCACTTTTTAACGACAATACATAAATTCTTTTTATTTTAAACCTTAGTCAAAAACTTTCAGTTACTGTTGTGTTATAGTTTTCTAAATATTTGCATGTCAAAATATTCAGATTAATTAATGAAGATTAATTTTAAATGTTTGATGTTTGTTTACATTTATTAGAGGAAAAATTTAATTTAAATCTAAATAAAGTTAAGATAACTAGATAAACTCTTATCTACTATATTTCTAAAAGTTTCCAGAAGCACTTTAACACTCCTAAATTATCTTCGATTAGAAACAATATTCTATAATTTAAAATATTCCAGTTTTGCGTATCTGTTGCCTGCAATTGCGTATTAGCGAAAAACGCCCACCAAAATATCATTATTATTCAGGAAATTCAGTCATTTATCTCTGGAAATAATGACGTTGGTGTTTTATAGCATTTTGACGGTAGTAGGTATCAAGTATTATCAAGTTTCGTCCTCAAAAAATATGTTAATACGAGGGTCGAACAAAAAGTAGGTACTTATTGTGAATTGTGATTGACAACAACCTGTAAAATATGGACATGAATTTGTATAAAAACTCCAGGTAGCACAAAGATCTATAGAGCTCTGGATAAGACAGAGGATCCAGAAAAATATACAGAATTAATAATTCAAAATCTTCAAATGACAATGGGCAGATCAGTTAGCTTGAATAATTGCCGAAATAAACGAATATTTATGCATTTAATTATTGACAATTGAACAAAGCTAAAAAAATTATAATGATAAAAATAATAATCCACAAGTGTAATTTTTTAAGTTCGTTACTTAACATGGATACCTACTTGTTGAATAACCTTTGTATATTGTACGTATCTATCATTTCTGTACATTTAGTTTACCGTTATCAAATGGAGGACGTACCACTTTTTTTCCTATTTGGTCTACTTGGTACTACAAACTCTAATTTGTCAACGCCGCTAATAGCACAGCAGATATTGCCATTTGCATAAATGGCAGTTTCAGTTGTAGAAAAATGTGCAGTAGACGTAGACAGGCTCTTTATTAACTAGGTTTTCTATATTCAAAACGTTGAATAAGTAATCGATTCGGTATAATTTTGACTATATACAAGGTGGTTCAATAGTTCTAGAAGGATTATAGTCACATTTTTTCATATCTTTATAAACTGCGTAATATTCTTTTTAATCTTTTTTAAGAGTTATATATCAACCTAGTAATTTTAAAATAAAACGGTCTTAGCACTATCATTAGATTTTAATGGCAGACACAAAAACTGTACCAACCTCTACTGGGTGTTTCTCAAAAGTGGCTGACCCCTATTAATTTTTTTATTTTTTTTTTAGATAATAAACGAGATATCTGAAAAAATAAAAAAGTTATAGAGGTGAGTCACACTTTTGATAAGCACCCAGTATATTACATATCGTACAGTTTTGAAAAAGAAAACTTTTTATTAGGTCTTTACTTTTAAATAAGAAAATATATATATTGCATTTATGCTACAATTGCGTTATTCAAGTTGGGATTTTATTAAAAACAAACGAATAAAATAAATTTCTTTCAATTTTGTTGATTATTTCCTTGGAATCGGTATGAACGACGACGTTTACGAAAAGTTTGACCGACTTTCAAAAATTGCGAATAAAATGGAAATTGCACAAACTGTGTTTCTTCCTATTGGGAAACCAGACAAATGTGCGGAACGTGCACGAACAACGCTTGACCGATTCTCCCAATGAGAAACCCAATGTACAGTTAAAATATTTACCTAGGGAGTTGAGCTCGGTGTTGAGTAAACGTGCGGGGTGAGTTTCGGTATTTCCCCCAAGATTTATCACAGTCTAAGAAAATTAATGTTATAATTATAATTCCTTCATTATAGTTGGGGGGTTGGAACCTTTGTTGTTACAATAGCAAAAAATTGTATATGCACTATGTGCGCATATTTGAAGCTGAGCCATTTAGGGCTCGAAGAGACCCATCTACATTCCGAGTTTCAGCCCCCTAGCTCACATAGAGCCAGAGTTGCGACACTCCAAGATCGTTACCATTTTTGTAACGCTTGGCGACCTTGGCGTAACGCTTTGCGTAACGCTAGCTCGTGTATCGCGGCCTTGACTTTTTACTCCCATCGCGCGTAAAGAAGTGTTGCTTCAAAAACACTAGTTACGACCGCAATACACCAAAACACTGTACTTTTAAACACTAGCATCATCAGCATAGCATCATCTGATGATTAAAACATATCGTGGTCAATCTATACTAATATATAAAATCCTTAAGCGACTGACATACTGATTAATCACGATCCTGCTCAAACCACTCAACGTAAGAAGCTCAATTTTGGCATACAGGTTGGTTCTAGGGTGTAGAGGTTCGATAAGAAGGGATTATTATTATTTTTTATTTAAAAAACGGTCAAGTTTTCGAAAAAACGCTTAAACACGTATATTTTATCTTGTTTTTTTACATATTTTAAGATTTTTTAAAAATGTATACAGTGTGTTTCGAAAAATCTGGTCATTGATTAATCACGATCCTGCTTAAAGCGCTTGACGTAATAGGCTGATTCTTGGAAAACAGATTGACTTTAGGGTGTAGAGATTCGATAAGAATAAAAAAAAATAAATGGGTGAAATTATCCCTCAAATATTAAAGAGTTAGGTGAGTTTTTCGGAAAACTCTTAAACACGTATATTTTATTTTGTTGTTTTACATATTTTAAGATTTTTTATAAATTTATACAGGGTGTTTCATAAAATATGACCATTGAGTAATCACGATTCGGCTTAAACTGCTTGACGTTTAAAGCTGATTTTTGGCAAACGGATTGACTGTGGGGTGTAGAGGTTCGATAAGGAGGGGCTTCTCGAATCTCAAATTCCAAGAGGGTGAAAACGCCCCTCAAATATTACAATATTTGTTATTTAAAAAACGGTTAGTCTTTCGGGAAAACGCTTGGCAAGCATAATTTATTTGGTTTTTTTACATATTTTGAAATTTTTTAAAAAAATCATACAGGGTGTTCCAAAAAGTTTTGTGATTTCTTAACTACGATTCTGCTTAAACTGCTTGACGTAACAGGCAAACGGATTTTTCGAAAGTCAAATTCCAACGAGATGAAACTACCTCTCAAATATTACCAAGTTATATAATAATATCGCCATATTGTTTTTTCTCATGCTGACTTAAATGTGAGAAAATTTTATCCAGTTTGTATGTTAATGGAAATTCTTGCTTTGCTTTATCATCACCATTACAAATGATTAATTCGACGCGAACGAAGTCGCTGGTACACGCTAGTTATTTTATAATTTCTCCAGCCCTTTTAATTAATCATAAATGGTATGTAATATTTTTGAATTCCTCTTGAGTCTTGTGATCATTTTCAAAATCCTATCGTTTCTTTTCAAATCAAATTCGTCACTCGTTAATTAATTATCAAAATATAAACATTTTCGCTTATTTCTACACAGCGAATCGGAACGAAAACATTGAACTATTGGAATATTTTGTATAGGCGATAAGCGTAAACGATTAGTGGTAAGTCGTTCTGTATGACCAATACGTGTCTTTGTTTGTTTATACGTACATTTTCGATAATGCATATACGATAAGTGGCCAGGGTAGTCATGTGACGATTGATTCCATTTTCTACGCGATATTTTAAAGTGGAATTATTTTTGGAACGTTTTAAAGTGTGTGATTCATGGTCAAAGTAATATCGATCCAAAAGGAAATAAAATCGATTCCTGTAATTCGAATGGATTAAATTGGCCGATTATGTCGATATTGCAGCAGACTACAGAAGTTAACGACAATGCTTAAAGATGTTGCATCAGAAAGGCAAGAAATCGACTCGCGAGCAGACCAGGGTTGGATATAAATAGCATTCCGAAAATGGATTGGTTTGGTTCAACCACTTTAATCGTCTAACCATCACGACATTTAACTTTATAAAACTCTTACATATTTAAGCAATACAGGGCGAGTCTTGTAAACAAGATTATGAGGTTTTTGTCGCTGTGTGTAAAATTGAATAAAAATGACAGAAAATTACTCGGGTCCGAATTACTTCACTTGCAACATTTTTCTATATTTTTTATTTCCTTAAAATTTTTTGGTAATAAAAAAAACATTTCAACTATTATTTAAGAGACAACCTGTATACTTAATATTGAATCTGCGTCTTAAAGATGATAAATTCATGTCGTTATGAAAAAAGTCGAATCTGGTAGAAATGTTAATTAGATGTCGTAATTCTTCCTGGTAATGAAATAATACAATACTTAAATGTGTAATAACTAATAGACAACACACTGTTAGTAACTATACAGACCGTCTCATTTCTTTTCTAGTATAGATTCTTTAAAATATTGAATTTAAAATTTTACAATTTAAAAATCTGAAAATCGATAATTGAAGAAATCTGAATAAAACATTTCTATTGCAAAATAAAGTTTTTGACATTAATTATCTTGAAAGAACAAAAATGTATTATAATCAAACTAACGCTTGATAAGAGACACTCCAATAACAATATTATTGTAATATGTATTTATTTAGTTCTACAGTATGTTCCCGGATTG